GCCACCCCTAACCCCATCTTCATCCTCCCACCTTCGTGAAACTTTCCGCCGATCCGGACGCCGCGACGCCGTCTGCCGCCCGATCCGTCCGTCCAAACCGCTCCGCTCCGTCTGCCAACGAAGGCACCATGGTATTGACGGTCGTGCGCGCTGGCTCGCTGGGGCGGAGCATTGGCACCTTGGCGGGCGGAGCAGGCTGTTCGGCGCACAGAGGTGGGTGAGGACTAGGCACCTGGGTGACTTGGGACTTGGGCTGGGACTTGGGCACATTGCTTCAGGCTGAGGCTTTGGGGCCTTAAACCTTCCCAACCAAGGCATCCAAGTTCACGGCCCGGAGCCCTGAAACACACAGCGAGAACCAGCTGGGAGTCCCCGTGTTCCTCCGGGCTCCAGCCAGTCAGTCAACACATGTTGAAAAACTTGAGGCCAACGGGGGGGGGCGAAAGCTAGCGCTCCAGAATGGGAAAGTGGAGGGCAGCGAGGTAGGAAAAAACACGGCGCTCTTTTTGGAGGCAGGGGTGAAGAGTCCTTTATATGTGGCTCTTTGCCCGGATCCTCCTGAGAGATGAGAGAGATGAGAGAGATGAGAGAGATGAGAGAGAGACAGTGAGACAGTGAGACAGTGAGAGTGAGCGAGCGCGGCCGCAAGATACGCAACGCTAACCGCATGCCAAAGAGCGACGACAGGACGGAGTCGAACTTGCGAAGAGGGAGGAGGGAGGGAAGGTGGGAGGAAGACAAGGAGGAGGAGAGGGGAGGTGGGGTGGGGAGAGGGGAGAGGGGAGAGGGGAGAGGGGAGGGGGGGGGGTCTTCGACCTGAAAAATCAGGGGTTAGGATTTGCACCCGGTCGAAAGAAACCTTGCTATCGCAAGAGTAACTCCAGCTAGCTTCGCTAGCTTTCGTGACAACATTGACCCATACTTGTAGAGGTCATCGTCTCAAATGAGGTCAACATAAATCAAAGGCTTTCAAGTCAGGTTGTCACCCACAGCTGCTTGTATGTTCTGGTATGGAATGTATGGGATGCGCTTTACAATGTGCCACCAGAAACTGCACCGGCCGCCCTGAAGCCAAGGCACCCCCATGGCGGTGGCGATCGTGAAGGTTGAAGCTTGGGGTCTAGCCCTTTGCTGAGATGTCTGATGCTCCTAGACATGATGCTTCTAACTCCAGGAGTTTCCACGCCATGATGTCAACGATCTGTCTAGCCCGGCGATTCAGCCTCTATTTGTGCGTAGTGGGATGCTCAACATCCATCCACTGGAGGAACCGTTCAACATGAACGGGTTTCGGAAGATCTGCAACTTCTAACAAATGACTGGAGGGAAGACCATAATGACTGGGGCGTCTGACGACCATAACCGGAGTCTGAGCATTTTTGCACACCTGTCACCATCTGAGTTTGTTCGAGTCAAGCTACTGGGTGCTTTCTGGTGCCAGAAAGCACATCTCTACATGGAGAAGTGATGCAAAGTAAAAAGCAGGTCCGCACGTGGTACACATTACGAAGATGCATATAACATGACCATACATGCCTTTGGATGCATGATGATGTATGTTTGTATATTTATATACCTGAGTACCGGCACGCATATCTGCATCATGAAGTGCCAATCCAAGCCTACCTTGAGCCGAGAATGCACGTTTCGCACACGCTGCCCCTGAATGATGGTGCATGTGTCAAAACATGGAGAGAGATTTCAGCACAGCTATATGCCAGGAGGAGTCCCCTCTATTCAGCAAATCAACAAGTTTGGTGAACACTTTATGCCCACCACGAACTGAAGAATAAGGGCACCGAATTCCTGGCCCCGAATGGATTTCCAGCTTTTCCACTTGAAGTTGGAGAAGAGATTCTAGAAGATCATCCAATGATCCAGTCAGCTTTTCAGCCTACAGCTACTGCCCGACAGGAATTGCTTTTCTGGTTTCTGGAGAATGAAGGTTCACTGCGACTGTGCTTGCATGTCTTGAAAGAGTAGGACAACCATCTCCCAAACAGAAGCCAAAAGTTTCGCTAAGGACGAATGAACTGACAACTGGGTAGGGATTGGAACCAATTGACTGGGTCAGTTGGACAATTTATAGGACTTCTAAGGACTTCATAGCCTGCAGGGGTAGAGTAGTGGGCATTCCAGAACCATCCAAGTCTGATCCTTCTTATCTACCTTGGACTCGCTCGCCTGTGAGGCAAAACACCCTGTTTGAGGGGCTTCTTGCCATTACAAGTAGGACATTGCATCGACATCGACACTGTTCTGCCGTCCGCCTCTTCATTCGATAAAGAAATGTAACACTTCACTTTCCTGACTGGTGCGACTCGTAGGGAATGAGGGTGGCGTTTCGCCCCTTGTCTAGAGATTCTCTTTCTGGATCCCACTACCCACAAATTCCCGACGACGAGTCAGTCGCACAACTCACTTTCATGATTTCCACTGGGAAACAACATCCGAATCCTGTAAGCCAAGTTTGGCCTTCCATCCTCAAGACTCTTGACAACATTGGGCGACAGTTCCCAAGAGGTTCTTGAAAAGACACTCAAAAGTTGTCTTTTGAGGGATGTTGACGCCCGGGCGTCAAACATGCTGCTGTTTCCACAGTGGAACTGATTGGGACGCACTGAGAAATTGTGACAAGTACACCGAAAGCAAGCACACCATGCCAAAAGCATGCTGACCGGAGCAAACATGAGCAAACCACAACCGCTCGGATGGACTTCAACGAAAATGACTGGCAGCATCCTTGAATTAACCAGCTTGGAACCACCCTGGGTCCAAACCCCACACAGCCATTTCCTGCGCTTCGTTTCGATTCTGGGCAGTGCGGCCCCAGAAAAAAAACCACCACACGCAGCGTTCGATCCACTCCGCGGCGCGCGCTGTCATCACTTCGCCCAAAGCCCATCCCTTTTCTCGCGGTGCGTCGCGTGACCGGTTCCGGACCGGAGATGGGACGACCTGTACACGACTTCAGATGCGTATGGCTCCTGAACTGGCGAACGATGCACGGTTCTCGTCCACGTGGTTTCAGCTCTTTAACACATCTCGGAGCGCTAACGAAGCGCGGCTCGAGCAAGCAAGCGCAAGGTGGTCGCACCATGCTGAAGCAGAGGGATCGTCTTCCCTTTTGTTCCATTCTTTCTTTCGTTTTCTTTTCGCCACCGCTTCGCTAAAAGGAAAACTTTCGCTAAAAGGTCCCTGCTCTTGGGCCCCCAAGATACCATGTCGAGCATCTGATGCAGAAATATATATGTAATTTAATATATTAATTATATGTGTGACTGTATGTGAAATTCAATTCCATAAATGTTATATAATTTTACACACTGGATCCCGCTCGTGAACACCCAATTATTCTTGACTGACCAGTCAACCATAGTCAACCACAGTCTTGGATATGCAAAACATATTCCCCACTGCTAACCAGAAGCCTTCCCTGGGACTAGATTCCAAATGATACATCATTGAACTGGGAAAGAACCAGGTAGATCTTTTCTGAGTCCCGACACGAATCGGCACAAAACTCTTTTCCTTCTATACAAACAGAATTGAATGCTCGGTACATCAACCTGTGAGCAGTGAGGATAGCTTCTGGGGAAAACCCCCGCCAACCAGGAGGCCCAAAGCAGCATTGAGGCCTGCGAGAGACTGCTAGTCTCTCACGGGCAAGGAATGCATTGTGCTGCTGAAAATGAGAGACTGGCTGGATCGCAAGCCAATCTAATCTGGCTGAATCACGCATGACTCAGAATATCATGGGTTCGAGATCCTAAGAGGGGAGGGTATGGTGCAACTAACTAGGAATTCTGACCCATCTGACCCCTGATCTACTTCTTTTGCACCCTGAACTGTTCTTCCGGCACCCGGACGTGCCCGAGACACGCCTTATGGGACTGCCAGTCCGGACTGCCTTCAAAACGGCCTTGGGGTGGTTGGTTTTGGGGGCCAATTGATCGGCAGTCCGGACTGGCAGTCCCAGACAAGTCGTGTCTGGGAACTGTTCAACCACCCTGGCCACTTCACACCCTTAGGGTCCGACACACCCTATGGGATTGTTTAAGTTAAAGGGTGTGAAGTATCCACCGGACACTTCACACCCTTGGCCACGCTGTGGACACACCGACGAAACTGCTTCCCTGCGGCGACCTGGAAAACTACCAACAAAAATCTTGGTTTTTATGGTCGGTTTGGTCGGTTTGTTGGTTTTGCGCCAAAATTTGCGGAAATTTGTGGTCGTTTGCTGATTTTGTGTGTGTTTTGCGCCAATTTGCGGTCGTATTGTCGGTTGAGCTGATTTGCGGGCGTTTGCGTGGAAAACCGGGTCAATAACCAAAACTACTAGACTAGAATTTGTTGGTCGTTGGAAGATCCAGGATAGGTCCTCCATGCGGCGCGAACGCCCGAACACTGAGAACACATTTATGGACCAACATCCTGGAGGACAAACACATAAACATACGCCATGTGATGGCAACATAGTATCATATAATATCTTCAAAATTTATCTCAACCTGTGCCGTGCTGGTAGTTGCCGCCAGTTTTGCCACCTCCACCATATGGAAAAGGAATCCAACCTCCTTTCTTGCTCTTGCCCATCTTACTGTAGCTCCATTATTTGACTTCTGAAGCCTGTGATCCAGCCCTATCCCGCTCGAGCCCGACCGTTGCAGGCTGAAGATTGTTCTGCCAAAGGTGAAACGGCCGCAGGAACAACCATGGCCTCAGTGTCGGTGCGGGTTCAAACATCTGTGGCTGGGGCAAGTGATTCATTTTTGAGTTATACACACGTGCTCGTATGCACAGAGAATGTTGTGAGTACTACCTTTATAACCAAAGCAAACACACATCAGTGCCAGTGCAAACCATTTTTCACGCCTTCCCATCAGACTGTTTGATCGCTTTGCATGCACCCACAGTGCTGACCCATTAGTGGTTTCAAAAAGAACCAACCGAACCCTGACGGTCCCTGCCTCTGGAGCTCTTCCGGTTGCTCCAGTGCTTTAGGAGGCCTCCGCTGGAGCTCAAGAGGGAGGTGTTTTTGGTGATCTGAGGGGGTTTGGGACCAAAAAGATTCTGGGTCCAACAATATCTGTTGCTATCTGATTTGAGTCTATTCTGCACTTGATCCTGACTTTGGGCGCTTGATCCGCTAGGGCCTAGGGGTCACTCTCTCGCACTTGGTACTCGCGTCAGGTGGAGACCTGCCGTGTCTCTTCAGGTGGAGACCTGCCGTGTCTCTTGGGGGCGACGATCTCTTGTTTGGCTTGTGGAAAGACGACGACGGTTGGTCACATGGAGGCCAGGGCTGGTGACCGGCTCGTCCTATTCGGCCGGTGGGTTTCAGCACCCCGACTTCCTGTTCGGCACTTGTGTGACTGGACAAGTCTCGGAATTTGGGAACCCAATGCAACTCGGAACCCATATACCAGGAGTCACTAAGAGGTGTCTATAAATAGCCTCGTAAAGAGCTTATTCGGAGTGTCCAAAAACCACCGGACTTGGTTTCGGTCCTGGTATAATATGATCCACTTGATCTCGAAGCTTCAACCGCTTCAACCAAGACCATGTGGCCCCCAGGTCTGCTAAAACTCATCGGTTGGCGTGATCATACAAGATTCACTGCCACATACTCGTCCTCCCACATTCCCACATGGTAGCTGATCGCAAGGGCCAATGAACCAGCCAAGGACTGATGCACTTGCCCCATGTTCTCAAGTCTTTGTGAGAGAGTGGACACCCCCCCCCTCTCTCTCTCTCTCGCTCCCTCCCTCAATAGGCTTCAAACCCACCACATCATTCACTGTCGGACCATCCTCGCTTCCGCTTCCGCCCCGGGCGACTCCCCTCCGTCTCGCGCCTCGGACTCGGCGGCGTCCAACAAGGCCCGGTCTGCGGAGGGCGTCGTCCGACGCGTCACCGACGCGTCACCGAGGAGCGGAGCGGGTTGCGGGGTGGGCCTGGACTGCGGACTGCGCTGAGCGCCATGGGAGGCTGGTGATTTCCAGACCAGGACAGGAGGACGATTTCAGAGACAGCGAAGTTGGGAAACAGGGGAGGGTTCTTATATCTAAGTGGATCTTGTTGGAGTATTGTGTGAAAGGCTCTGACACACACAGCTAGTCCAATCAAATGGACTGGGAGCTATAGCCATCCCCTTCTTACCCACTCATGGATCTGGATGACATTCAGTCAGAGGTCGCTCTTGTGGTAGGACTGAACAGCTCGGACCCCGTGGCTTCACCCATGTCTTCACCCTTCCAAGCCGGGACCTTGGCCCTTCAAAATCCGGAAGGTTCGATTCGGCATTCGTCGCCACCCGCCCCACCCACTGCCCCACCCCAGCTCTCGCGTAACTCGCGTCGTCTCGGCGCCGGCGAGGCGTTTCGCGTAAGAGCCTTCCGCGCCTTCCTCGCTGATGACATCCTTCGCCACGGTGGAGCTGGTGTTGCTCATGTTGGTCACCTCCACCTGCCCAGGTCCATCTTGGTTACAAAAAAAGGCTGAAGAGCCAGCGAGTGAAGGCTGAAGTCAACTGGTGCCTGGTGGGTTTCTTCTACTTGGCATGGGTATATACCAGGACCTTCCAAGAGGTGGTTTTTGGACACTCCTTAGGCTCTAAGAGGCTATTTATAGACACCTCTTAGTCGGTCCTGGCATAGATATCGTTTGACATTTATAGTCTTTCAATGTCTTTCAACATGGAATTAAACACAAATGGAAACCACATGGAAAAACCACGCGCCCACAAAAACCGCCGCTGGAACCCGCGTCGATATAACGGCTGGGAAACCCACAGAAGAATGTACATGGCTCACATGGCTCCCTGGCCAGCCCATGTCAAAACCTCAAGGGTTCTGAGCCTTATTTTTTGCAGCTGCTCACCTGTCCTCTTCTGCGTGGTGTTGTTGTCCCCTATGCGGCGCCTCTCTGTGTGGCATCCACCTCTTACCGCTCCTTTCGTGACCGGCCTTCCTTCAGATCTTCGGCGCCGCTAATAGCGCGTGCGCAGATAAATCTGCTTCAGAGGATGCTGAGATGCACCGGACAAGGGCTGAGGGAATGCGGCCCTAGGTCGACCAACCAGCTTTTCTTCATTTCGGTCGAGACCGACCGTGTCCCAAGAGATTCGTCGGGAATTCGTCCATTGGGGGGAAACTCCCAAATTCTTTGGGCATCACCTCTTGGCCCAGCAATTCGACAAACCTTCGAACCAACCGCTGCTTCAAGAAAGTTCGGCGTCTCCCAACGACAGAGCCGTCAGCTCGTCTTCCCGTCTTTCGAGCACGGCTGGGACCCGCCTGCTCTTCAGGAACCATCTTGGGAGCGACGGCTGACAGTTCCTTCACCAGCACCTCGCGGAGACCATGGCCCGGATCGGCGGATCGGCGGCAAGGACGGGCTGGCGAGGACGTGTTCGAACAGTGTCACTGGTAGGTGTCTGCTTTAGAGGGAATTTCGAGGGACTATAGTAACTTGAAAGATTGGAGCTATACACTCCCCAAATCAAACGTACCCCTGGCAGCAGTGAGGACCCAAACTAAATTCCCTAAGTTGTCAAGAATTTCTTTCATGACATGACCAACCCCCCCCGCTTACCCAGACTCTGCCTCTGCCACTCCAGACTCGTCACGGACGATCATCATCTCCTGAAGGTCGGTGATGAAGCCTTTGATGTGCACAAAGGCTATATGGGTTCCATCAAAAAGAGGAACTGAATGGGCATCAGTCCAATCTGTGATGGCCGCTTGGTCAAAGAGACACACCGCCAGGTGACTTCAGCCGTTTTACACCGACCACGCTGGTCACGGTCAAGGACCACGCTGGATCCCATCCGGATCGCTGGCACCGGGAGCTGCGTTGGGCGGTTGGCCACGAGCGAACGATGAGCGGACGCCTCGCTTGGGCGCCAGACCGATGGGTTTTCATCTACCCAGACGCTCATGGACCCTCCTAAGTAGGGGTCCGGACCCTGAAATCCCGGTTTTGAGGGACCAAGAGCTGTGAACGGAGCGTTTGGGTAGAAACAACACCGGTTCTTCACGACCGATGTCTGACACACCAGACCTCGTGGAGACTCGTCAGTTACGATGGCCACCCGGGAGGGGGCGTGGCCTCCCACCCCAACGGTGCCGGCTGCCGCCGTCCTCATCGAGGTAGGTCACCAAAATGCTCCGGCGGAGCTCCAGCGGAAGGTCCTCCGGAGCTCCAGCGGAAGGGCATTTCTGGTCTCCAGCATACGGAGCTCCGAAATGTTTGGAGCAAAGGCTATCGGACCATATTCGGCACCAGGGGGTTGTCCAATAGGTATCGATTTCATTCGATTTCATCTTTCAGAACACGAGACACTGTTGAACTCTCCTAGCCAATTGCGCGGAACGCCTCAGATCGGAGGATGACGATCCTTACTCTTGCCTTGGAGTAAGCTATAGCCTTCTATATACAGCCTACCTTATAAGATAGGAAAATGTCCTAAGGTTGAGGGTGTGTAGCCTTCCAACAGTCGAAATCGAAGCTGAGGTTTCAAACCATGCGCGAGGTCCACGCTATGTAGTGTTCAGCAGACCATCCCAGACCCATACTGTGGCCCTATGAAAAAGCTACATGATGTAGGGGAAACATTTGGTATTTTTCGAGTGGGAAGACACCATGAGACACCCAACCAATAAGTACCAGGACCTTCCAAGTCCGGTGGTTTTTGGACACTCCTTAAGCTCTAAGAGGCTATTTATAGACACCCCTTGGAAGGTCCTGGTATAGACTGGTCTTATTGAGTCGTCCGAACGGGGTTGGAACGCCTACGGTTCGGTCGAACCGAGTCGAAGCCCATTTGGCCCAACGCCCATGTGTTGGTTGATGCAACAACCTTCACTGCATCGTGACCGATGCGCGATGGAGACGAAAAGATGACTCATCAGCTTGGTTGAAAGGCCACTCTTCCACGTTACTTGTCCTCCACTTCATTTGCTCTTTGGGCTCCCCTTTGACAGTAGATAGTTTTCCTAAGAGAGACTCATCAGCGATGAATGCGGGTTTGATTTTGCTCACAGGGTCAACCGCCAAACCAAAACGCCAAACCGCTTCAAGTGGTCGTGTGGTCGACCGCTTCAAGTGCAGCCTTGGTCGACCGCCTCTGCCTGTGCAGCAGGTGTGTCTCTGTCTGCGTCAGAAGCTGGACAGCTGGACGAGATCAAGCACTGCTCGAACTTTCGCCCATGCGCGAAAAAGCAGTACCGATTATGGTAGGTGTCACAAAGCACCAGGAAAAGGCTAGGGTAGGGAGACTTCAAGCATAGACAAGCGATTCAAACCATTTGATCCCTTTCGTCCTTGATCTATTCGACCCTGCCGAAGGGACCGTACTGCAGACTCTTGACTTATTTAGATATAAACATAAACAACAGACGCTCCAAGTCTGAAAGGGGGTTGACATCTCCTCAAGAACGAGTCCGTCTACCATTGCGATGTAGAAAGACCTCATCTACAAATCCCCTCCGACACGGTCTGCAGTGTAAGACCACCCCACGGACACGGTGGAAGGAGTGTCGACATCGTTCATGGGTCGGTCGGTGGGTCAGCGGATCGGTCCTGGTTGCCAATGGGCTCTGGGAGCTTCAGCGAGACCACCTGAAGCGGGACGGCATGGGAGATGGGGGGTTTGGGGTTGGGGGGAGTTTAGGGTTTAGGGTGGGCGACTTGACCAGATGATGAGGCCTGGACCTGGACTTCAGTGGTCTTTGGGATCTGGTTCTGTTTGAGCTTTCCAGCAGCTGAACCATGGGCACCCCTCGAGAACAAGCGCGCGCGCACGCGCCCCACGACTGCAGCGTGCATCCCTGCAGACTCTTACCTGATTACAATCTTTTACATGGTTTAACGGTCCCTTGATGTTCCCAAGGTAGTTGCAGTAGCTGGTTCCTGGATCAACCATGAAACCCACCTCGCTAACGCCGGATCTCCCTACAGTACCCGGATCTCTCGATCCACTCTCTCCCCGCAGATCCGGCGAGCGTGGCAAAAGGTGCCGCCTCCTCGCTCATGCGGGACGCGCTGAGCGGCATCAGCTCTGCCTTATATCTCAGCGTCTCCTGCCGAGGCGTTGCGCGGTCGTGGAGCTTCCTCGGCGTCTGATCGAGCGGCGTGTTTGGATTCGACGCCAAAACGGACGCGGGAGAGCTGGAGCTGCTGGGTTCTCTGATGGATGCACGCACACGATCGCACGGTCCGCACACGTCTGATGCAGCGGACCTTCTTCCCAGCGACCTCGATTTCGGCCTGGGCCTCAACATCACGACCGCCCATGATCTCCACCTGAGCTGTGCACCAAAGACATATTCATGCAACAGGACTTTGGGGGAAACCCGCAATGGCCAGTCAAAACACAAATCCTTGGGGAGGCTTGGCTGGTCGTGGCTCTTGTGTGTATAGATGCCCCCCAAAAGTGTATTGATGATCTTGATGTTACTTGTTTGGCAACGGTTCCCGAAGGACATCATCAACACCACATATATGTCAATATAATCCCATAATATATGATAATTTAGCTCAAAGCTTTGAGGCTAGGATGTCCCCACAGAATCACCCAATACATCACCATTCGTCACCCATTTCCAATTAAATCCATGACAATTGACTATTCCCAGACTCTTTCCACCTCCACATCTCCACAAAGATGCACCCACCTCCTTTCTCTCGCCCGGTGTTCCCAGATTCCAGTTTGATTCGCGAGCAGGACGGCTGAGCAAACGCACTTTCTTGGAGCCCAATTTCACACCAAAGGACTGGCCTCAAGGCAGGCGTGTTTTTGGAAAGAACGCACTGAAGGCTGCGGCTGAGGCGAAGAATTTCGAACAAAGAAAACACCACGACAGTTGACAGTGCAGAGATCTGGGGCGTGCGGCGTGGGCCTAGTTTGGGGAGACGGTCTGGTTCTGGGCCCCAGCTGTCGCTCAACAAGCTCTTTGGAGCTGTCCAACTCATGGAGAAAGTAGAGCAGCAGGAGTTTTGAGAGTCAGCGTCCTCTGGATTGAGGCCTATGACCCATGAATCATGAATGAACCGCGTTCTTTCGGAACATCTTAGAGTTCTGCGCGGTGCCACGCACGGAACACTGAACAACGTTGTTGGTCACCGTCAGGCTGTTGGCTGTTGAGCAATGTGAGCCGTTAGCATTTTGCTGAGTGTCCAGGGGCCCTGCTTCCAACTCGTGATTATTGGACTTGGTGGAGCGCCCGTCCAATAGAATTCCTTCTACTAGTTCCTTCTGTCATGCAGTCAGAATCTCACACTCCTTGGGAAGGCCGAGCGGAAATGGGTTCAACAAACGCAACAAAAAGAGCACAGCTTCAAATAGAACACCAGAAATCTCAAGGTCCAACTTGGTAAGGACCCAAACCACCCCAGCCCTCACCCCCCTCCACTCCGATAACGAGTGGAACCAATCCGCCCGCCCGAACCACAGATCCGTCGTCTTGTTCTGGGCCCTGACCCCAGAAACCCGAGGCGAAGGAGGTCAAGGCATTGCCCAACGAAAATCCACCGCCTCACCCCGTTGTGGTCGTTCGGCGTGCTCGGCGTGGCGTGTCGGACGAAGTGCGGAAACCGCACCGAAGCGGGAACTGGGGGGAAAAAACTGCTTAAGGTGTGGGAGTTGGAGAGGAGGGTATGTAGAGGTGGAGGTCTTTGGCGCGGTGAAGACGAACGAAACTCTTGTCAAACAGAGAGGCCGACAGGAAATCACTGGCACTGGACCATCGGATGCTTTTCCAACAGTTTAGGAACCATAGATATCCATAGATCTCAACTGCTCTAAAGGGTAAAATCCACATATCCCCAGAACCAAACTCTTGAACCCAGGCCTTCTGAAGCTCCATGCACTCTACTACAATAGTAATCATTAAGAGCTCGCTGCAAAGAAGGGGGGTCGGTTAGCCTACCGCAGCATTTGCTGTTGCCCTCGGCGCTATGACCGTCGTGTTCACATCCTGACCGTCGTGAGATGTCTTTCACACGTCAAACATCCTCAGACCAACTGAGCTAATAAGCTTAGACCCGGGAAACTTCAATGGAACCTGAACATGGACCAGACTGGAAGACGATGTTCCTCTACCAAACCGGTTTTCAGGTTCGTGGACCTCTTCCAGAGTGCAACCATAAGCTTAACCACCTTACCACCTCTTCCCTCTTCCCAGTTCACTCCAGATGTCACCGGTCCGACTCCAGTCCGTCACCGGGGTTGGGGGCTCCGCGCTGTAAAGAAAGAGCGCCAACTCACGCGTGGGCGAGGAGAGGAGCCCCGGAGCATAGGAGCCAGCGTACCTGCGCATGCGCCCGCATGCATGGATGCGTACCGGCGCATGGTGTGTCACAGCAGGTCTTCTCCACTGATCCGGTTGCGAAGATCGCCTGTAGAGATCACGTCCAAAGACCGAAAGGGGTGGGAATGTTCGAGAGGAACGTGACCCTTACACATATTGAATGTTGCCATCAAAAGATGACAGTGAGTCGATCAAGCACTGTTGAGAAAATATGAGGTGTGGCCAGGAAACTGGCAAGGCATTTTTCACTCAACGGTGCTTCTGCAGATTTGATCATGCCCATTTCAGACTCCTGCAACCTGCAAATGCAAAAAAAACTCTCCAAAACCGGAAGAGTTTCTGTCCTGTCTTATGCTGCGGGTTGCATGCTGGAAGTTTCTGGAACAGGTCTCCCAATATACACCCGCTCGCCTTCAAAGACCATTCAAAGAAGGGTTGACCTGGTGGTGTAGTGTAGTGTAAAACATATTATATAGTTATGTAACATGTAAGAATCCTTAGTAAAACAAGGTTCTTTGGAACAAAAGACACATGAACCATCCTGAACCAATAGTTGTTCGAATCACCCGCCCCCCCCTCTGCAGGTCTCTAGCAGTCCACCATCTTCAGGCATTTTGATCGTCCAACTTTTTAGCTAGGCCGCAACCACGCCGCGAACACCCACGTGGTCACAGCCCTGAAGATTTTGAACGTGCTCTATAAAGGACATCCTATGACATCCTACAACCTGTTAGCCAGAAAAGAAAACATCGCGCCCCCAAACACCACTCACTCTTCACTCCCTAGTCTTGGCAGGTCCTCTCCCCGCTTCATCCCACTTCACCTTCAGGCGACTCCTTCGTTTCGTTGACCGCGACCGGACCGGCTCTCCCGTGTCTCACAGCATCTCGTCCCGGTCTCCGACTGGTCACTTGACGATCCAGGTGCCATCCAGCTCTGGAGAGTACACGGGCTCCTCGTTGGAGTTCAACCTCCGAGGGTCGGTGGGTGAAACCATCCACGGAGTCAAGGGCCGGAGGTGGGGAGGGAAGGAACCCGTCTGGCCGATGAGGGCGAGTCACCACAAAAGAAGAACGAAACAGGAACAACGGCACCCCGGGAACGCGTTGCTGACGCGCGGAACTCCAACTACGGGCATGAAGGGCGGCATACAGGAGAGTCATGCCGAAGATAGATTGGACAAGTGACAAGTTTATATGATATGATAGAACATTCCCTACAGGTCAAATGGTCAAAGACCTGATTTTTACTGGAGTTGCTATTACAAAACGCACTACTCAATGCAAATATGAGGTTTCTAGGACCAAGGAGGACCTGGGTCAGACTGAACCCCGGATAGGAGGGATTCTAATTGCTCATGGATTTCGGTTTCTGTCCAATCTCTGAAGGGATTCGGAAGGAACCAGAGTCGACCCTCTGTCTGTGACCCACTGGTGACCGCCACAAGTCTGTGGGAAGGAATCGGGTCCCCACGAAGCAAGGAAGGGAACAGGGTTGCTGGTTCATATATAATTGTTTCATAATACATACCCTGCGAAACCAAACCCTAGGAATTTGTACGGTGTAAGAGGTGCAAGTGGTCACGTATCGCTGATGCCTCGTGTAACCTTCATACTGTTTTGGGATTGAGAAAACTCCTCGGGTTTTTGAATGATCGGCAGGTGCGGAACTTCGAGATCATGAGAGCAAAGACATGTCGGAGACAGCAACACTTGTACGTAACATGACGCGCCACTATAGGTGTCCTCAGTCCAGCCCTATTCTCCAAGCGTGTCTCCCAAACCATGCATGCTATGAGGTTACTGTGGACATCCTACCAAGCCCCATCTTTCCAAACGCCACAAAAACACACACCTACAACGAATGTCATCCAAGGCGCCTCTCCAAACGGATGATGGCCTCATCCACACGTCCACGCATTGGCTTCCCTGTGCCACGTGTGCGAAAAAACGGAGACGTCGATCGTGGAACAGAGCTCGAGCGGTTTTTTCAGGCTCAAACGCTCAGACTGTAGGAGTCCAATGAAGGTTACCTTCCCCCACACAAACATGGAAGTGGACAACTCCCTCCATGCAAAGGAAAATGGTCTTCCAATGGGCCCCATGGGCTATCTTCCACATTCTTCCGCTTCCATGATTGTTGGAGGGAGAGTAATCTGATGCATAGTATTATTGCATGGTTCATTGATGGATCAATAGCTACTTCCGGTCACCGTCACCCCTTGCTTATCATGACGGATCAATTGCCAGCGGTTTGAACCACCAAACACCCAGGGTGCAAAGGGTATGGCACAAAACGACAGATGTGAATTGGATGATCATATGATAGGGTTTAGGGTATCATGTGGCACAAGTTCCAAAGGGACGATCTTTGGAAGTTGAGACCCCGCGTGATACCGTCATCGTTTTGGCGCCCCAAGAAAAACGCGGGACTTTTTTGGGAGGATGACAGAGGATGAACTGGTAAACCACCAATTATCATAATCCAGAATAATCCAAACATCTTTCAAATCTATTTCCTTAATTCAGTACTTTTCGTTGTTTCTGCTGACTCAGGGTGGAGTTTACGAGGGGATTCAATTCGGTTTTACAAGGAACTTCTTTGCTCCGAGACAGAACAATGCATTGCTTCACCAATCATCATGGCTCTCTTTCTGCATCTTCAGTGCGAGCTTGCTGACCAGGTACACTCCCTAGAACTAACATGGAAGTGGAGAATTGCCCCTTGGAAGACCATTTTCCTCTACAAACAGGGGGTTGTCCACTTCCGTGTTAGTTGCAGGCAGAGTATCCTGCTAAGCTCAATAGCAGCAAATGTCTTCAAGATGCGGTGGTTTGCAAAACCTGAACTTCGTATTCCCAAGGATTCGAACTCACATTGCGCCACTCACCCGGCTCACTGAACCTTCAAAGCATCTTTGTAAGCTTTGTGGCTCCATCCAAACCCACTCATTTCAATTTTCCCTCCCTCACTTTCACTCGCTCCTCACCCTTTTGTCGCCCAGACCCTCGCGGATTTGTACCTCGCACCTTGGCACCTCGCCACCCGCCGAGGGGCGAGTGGCACAACGCGTGCCGATGAAGCCCGAAGCCATGGAACGCGTGATTCGTCGCGTCGCCCGAATGGGTGCCTTCAGGTCTTTGAACCTCCTCCTCCAAGCTGCTGTCGAGCAGATCCATGAGCCTCTCCTGGCGGAGCCATCGAGTTCGACCGACCCTCCCAGAAGGGCGAGGGCGAAACCGGTGGACGCGGGAAAATCGCGGGTGTCCATGGAGGCGTGGTCCGGTGGTATACCTGGGTAGCCGAACTGCCCTGACATGTCCTGAGAAGGGGGGGAGAACAGAAAAGGAAGAGGTTCAGGGAGTGAAAGTGTTCCTGGTCTTGTGGTGAATGAGCTTGAACGTCGTGCGAGTAACATGCGCAACTCTCATGAACCCGCAAAAGTCATATCTTCACATCCTTAGACCTGGCCAGGGGGGATCCTTTTCTTGGACCAGTGGCCTTTTCATATACATCCCCTTTTCATCACGCTAGACCGGTGGGGAACATGAGGAATTGCATGGACAGACACCGCTATAGAGTCTAGGTCCTTGAACTGACTCTAACTGAGAAACATCCTACAGTGATCGCACCCAAACATCTTCTGCTCCGAGAATTGCTCCTGTGACGAAGAGTCTTAGCTGGACTACCACTGGTGTGCCAGATCTCCTAAGAACCCTATCTTCATTGGACAGGCCCCGGTGCAGAAAACCTACCAACAGATCTGGTGAACTGCAGTGTCATTCGCTGTTCATAGCTGCATGCGGCTTCAACCAATCACATCGCGTGTTTGTTTGCATCAATGCTGGTGGTCGTGCGAATCCAATAAACAATCCCATGGTTTTCGTACACCATCTTGCTTTGCCACCGAATCTCACACATTCACCCTCCGGACCCTTTTCTTTCAGCGGATGGTCCACGGCCGGCCAGGTGGGGGGCCCGCGCTATGTACACTGGGTTTCTGGGAGCAAATGGAGCAGAATACTTTCCAAAGAGAATCAAGTCCTGCAAAGGGATTCCCTCGGAATCGTGATCTAGCAATCTCAGCGAATTCCAGTTCGTACCACCTCTGGAGGACGGACAAAACATCACCCTACGACCCTAGTAGTATGCAGATTGAAGAGGTGTGAAGTCGACGTTGACTTTTTCATCTGGACTTTTTTTGATTTCCTTTTCGTACACATGATGAAACAGATTGAAACAAGGTTTGGCGCCAAACTCTATTCCAAGGAGAAGCGATCCGCTTTTTGCTTTCTACCAGGGAGGAATTTCACTGGTTTTAGGCATACCAAAGTACTATATTCCAATTTCTGACTTGTCGAAATGCGATTTCTCGACCTTTCCCAATGTATTGCGTTTTGTCTAATCAATGACCTTGCTGGCTTGGATTTTAGGCCTCTCATCCTACGTCTCGCGCCCCAAAAGCACCACCACTCCCAACAGTTCTGGGATGCCTTTCTTCGGAGAAGAATCGCTCTCTGTATCCCATTCGCTCAGTCCATCAGCTGGCTGAGACATTTCCTTTCTGAACTAATCGATAAAGAGTGTCCACATTTTGGCCAACGCGATGGCTGGATGTCAAGGGGATTGCTGGTCAGTGGAAGTGAAGAGATCGACAAAACCAATGAGTCTAAAGTCCAGTCGACCACTCAACTGGCCACAAACCAGGACCGGCACCAAGAGGTGTCTATAAACAGCCTCTTAGAGGTCAAGGGGTGCCCAAAAACCACCGGACTTGGAAGGTCCTGGTATAGGGAGGGTATGGGAGGGTGAACCCAAAAACTCTTCGATCACCGGGTCAGACGAGCGACCGATGAAGGGGCCACAGTTGAAGACCCTTAAGATGATGTTTTTTCCAATCCGTTTTGTGGAACCCGCTTTCCCGTTGATTCCAAGTGCGGTCACTTTGCTGGTTGAAATTCTTCAAAGCTTGTAGCAATGGGGCTGATGAAGTAACTAAAACTATACATGTGTGTCTATTTCAACAGGGAGACACCCTGGCCCTGGCTGGGTAGACTGGTCTATTTTCCGAACCTTCTAGGGTGGGTCGAACTGAGAGGTCTCCCTATTTTAATACACACCCCAAACAGGCCTTCCATGGTGGGGACACGTGATGAGCATGTGGGATACAATCTGTTCTGCGATTATTCTCAGTGGCATTTTTGTATCCAGGCATCTCAAGCGCTGCCCCTCAGTGCTGGCAGCGATAAACGCCAAACTTCCACTTTGCCTCCACGTGTGGACGAAACGTGCGATGTGGAAGAGACTGGATGGCTGGCAAATCCCCAGCATCGGCCCTGTTTGGAGGGTGGATGTCCAGTTGGGATGTGGATTTTCCAACCAGCGTCTTGTCGGACTGCCGGACATCTGGAACTTGGGGTCGAAGCTCGCCTGACTGGAATAGCAAATAGCCACCATCCCGAAATCGAGCACTGCATCTGGGTAGGTACTGCCCTAAGACAGGGTTTGGACTGCGATGGCCTCCAACCCAGAAACGATGGCCTCCAACCTTATGTTTGCTTAAGTTGTTTAGCCATTTCTGCTTCCACCAACGCCTTCAGCAGCTGCTCGTCTACAGAATGTGCACAAATGTCCGGAATTCTTTTGGCGTTCCTTGAGTTTGGAGTGCCTCCACAGGAACCCCCACTGAAACCGCAGACTTGACTTGAGAAACCAATGGAATCGAATAAGTCCAAGGGTTCTTAGGGTGATGGAGCTATAGCCTCTGGGTTGGGCTTTGATCAAAACTTGGATTGGTCGTTTCGTCAAGTTGAATTCGTTTTGAACAGATTACTCTCCAAACGCAAACGAAAGTTGCCCCGAAGTGACTAAGTGGTTGGAGATGGTTGGAGAGATGACTTTCCTCTTTGTTTGTCGGGGTGGTCTGTCAGCTTTCACCCTTGGTCTTTGGTTTCGGATCAAGAGACCTGTACCCACCTGGCGCCGACCCGGTCGCCTGCGGCCTGTCCCAAAAGGATCAAGCTGCTGCCCGCGGTGCAAAGGCCAGTCCAACTGGCGGGGCAGCGACACAGAGACGGATCAACAGGGGTGGCTCCAACGAAAATGGGCCAAAGACCGAGGTTTGTCGGTGTCCACTATAGACTATACTATTGGTTGAAGTGTGTGCTTTTCAAAACATGGAGCCCAAGCGTGGGTCCCGTATAGGCTCCCAAAAACCTCTGAACAGAGGTGGGAGAAATTGGATCTAGGAACGAAACACGCACACTCGATGGCTGAGAACGGCATCGTGGCACTCCCGAGGGCCCTCAAGACTCCTTTGGCAAATCATTTTACCCTGCTCTGACCCGGGCTCACCATGCCCTCCCACTGCCCGCACCAAAACAGGAAGGTGAGGAAAATAGATGAAACATGATGAAAATAGTACGGAAGCAAAAGCACACGCAAACATACTGACTATATACCCTAGACTTCCAAGACCATTTAAGAAAAGGTTGACCTGGTGTTTGTAGTGCAAAATCCTTAGTTGATTCGGTAAAGCCTATTAAATTAATGGTGGGCCAGGACGCCTAATTAGGGTATACACTGTTCCAAATATGATCCTTTAGTCATTCCAGGGCGCTGGACAAATTTCTAGTTCGTTCCCTCGTTGCAGATCCGTTGCGACCTTTCCACACACAATTGATTCTCAGCTGCGCCTTAAGCCTAAATCATCAGGGAGGTCATAGGACCAGCCTGGCGCGCGCGAGGGCGAAGCAACTGGTGATTGGCGCAGCGATGGAGGCACGAGGACCTATTTTGCTGATTCGAAGCACACATAGATGCACATGTATATATATATATAATATATATATATATTAAAATATACAATACACATTCTAGATTATTTATATGCATGTTTCTAAAGCTTATAACATCTCACAGGTCCTGGGCTGAGTGGGAAGCCGGTCCATTGCGGCTGTCAAGTTGGGTAGTTGAATTCCTCACCGCCAAAGGAGCATCTTTCTTTCGAAGGGTTCATGTCAATGGCCTCATGGACCAAAGCGTGCAGCTAGTGAAACCTAATAGGCCCAAAGAACCCGTATCCCTGGATGGTCATCAACAAAATCAACATGTTCGAATGAAAGAGTGCTCCCGCCCTTACTGCAAACTGAGCCGTTGCTGGCTTGCCCACGGACTCATTGCCACTCCTTGTCCAATAGTGCAAATGGCGGTAAGGATTCCTCCCGTGCACGGGGATCAAACTTCTCCAACTTCAGCCCATGGGGTTCAGTGTGGGGTCAACGAAACCCACGGATTTCTCTGTCTCTTTGGAGCAACCCCACGTCCACGTCACGCCACTCTTCGCCCGGGAGCGAAGAGATGGTCTCCGTTGCGTCTGCAAGCTGGAACTCAAATCCGCAGGTTTGCCGCTGCAGGCCCCGCACACATCGAGAAATGCTATCTCTGCAAAGACCAAGTTCATGCTCAGCACTTGTAAAGGATTGATGCCACCTCCACGCATCATTTGTATCTTGTTGCCGGCTCCAAACAGGCTTTACACGGGTTCCGCGCCCAAGGGTGGAGGCTGCAAGAAAATGAGCTCGATTTTCCGCAGAAGAGACCCACTCCAGATTGTTCGCAGCATTGTTGCCTTTGTCCAGATCTTTGTGGTTCACAAACGTTTGATCCTTTGAAGGTGGTGGACCATGAAAGGCAACAGCCACCAAGCGATGAACAAGCATATTGTGGTAGCAGGCATTTATTGTCAATCCAGTCGTGTAATACCCCATCAATGTTTTGTGCCCTCTGCTTGTTAATCCATAGCGTGATGTCACGCGGCCAAGAGAACTGACCATCCTTCCCGGCACTAAAGCACCTGATATCGGGTGGACCATTTGCTTCCATTCTTCTTCGGGCAAAGACATGTCACGCAGGCTTGGGAGCCTAAACTCATAGCCCTTGGCTGCAGAATTCTTGCGGCTGCATCTTGAAACGCTTTCTGTGCTCATGCCCAGCTGCCGAGCTGCCGCTGTGATAGAAGGGTGTGTTGTCCAGTTCGCAGACCCAACAGGTCTTGAGAGCACAGTCTTCGATTGTGCAGGCCCTGAACTACACCTAGAAAGGCTGGAGTATGAATGACGAATATTCTCGCCGCGGGATACATACTCCAGGTTGTCTAACCTGTTGTTGGATCGGTCGCCATCCACATGATTAACTTGCCAGGCTTCTCCAGTTTGGGGAAGCCCGTGAAAGGTTATCTTCACCACACGATGAACTCGCCACATCTGCTTGCAAATCTTGATCGCCTTGTACCCACTTGCATGGGGAGACCCAAACGAAACAACGCCTTTAGTGTCGCAGAGTCTTCCAAGTGAACTTACCTGCCAACACCCTCTGGAATGTTGAAAGGTGAAGTATCGCCGCACAACTGGCCAAGGGATGCACACACCACACGATGCTGGCCATGTTGTCAGCATCGGAACTTTGCACAGGTGTCCAAGTGAGCAAAGCACCACGTGCAACACAACACCCTAGCTGTTCCTGGCGGTCAAACCACTCAACATCATTCAACCAAAGTTTTGAACAATTGGCATGCCTCTGCACCAACCTACAGTATATACTTCGTATATAATTGTATCAACGCGTATTTACTCTTGTTGCTCTGCTGTTGCTTCAGGCTTACCAACAACCAAGAGACCTTACAAATCCCTGCGGATAGACACTTCTGCAAACCTGAGAACCCCCCCATACGCTTTGCGCTTTTAGGCCAAGCAAGTTCTTCCCCAAAAGCTGCACTCCGCATCATCAATGCCAGTTCACCTGGTGATACAGTTCGTTGCCAAATTCATGGGAACAATCCACGCCTCAAGGCCTTAAGTCTCAAAAGGAGAAGAGCGGCCGCCCCACAATGTTTTCCTCCAACATGCTGAATTGCAACCTGACGACACATTATAAGGAGTCATTCGAAGCAAAGAACTCAATGTTCAAAAAAAACACCCAAACAAGGCAGCAAGGACGTAAACCATCTTCACGCATCAGGTTTACGTCCAACTCCTCCATCTCTCTGCCCGTGGTGGACTTGATATTTTACGTCAACTCCTCCGGACGATCGAACACTAAAGAGGCCAAGATACTTCAAGACCAAATACATCAGAGCCATAGAACACATGACAGAATTCCAAACAAATCCCAGTGGAGTCTAGGGGGGATTCCAAATCAAGTCGACCACATGACATGGCAAACTAAACCCAACACACAGAGAAAATGAAATAAAACGGTGAGTGTCATTTCCTCTTCTTGTGAGACTTCGATCCTTCTGAAAAGATCTCCACAAATGACCACAAAATACAAAAGAGAGCTGAGTACATAACGTGCTCAAAATCTCAAGAGGGTTTCCTTCTGACAACACGATCCTCCCAGAAGCTGTTCATAGAGTGGGGAGTGGCACATCCTACAAGATCCGATGGAGAAAACACTTAGCTCTTCACCTGCAAAATGTTGGACTTCACCCCTGGCTGGTGTTGTTTTCCCACAGCGAGCCGGGCTGGATCCTGCCTGAAGGGAGCCAGGATGAGGACGATGCTTGTGGCTGCCATGCATGGATCCGTCCTTTCAATCGGTGGAGCGGACCAGGCCGAGAGGCGTTGGGTGGAGCTGCGGGGCTACGCTTCCTATCCTTCCCATGTGAGGACTTGATGGCCCTCGTTTTTGTCCAAGCACTGGTGGTTTTCAGGAAGGGCAAATGTACCTTCCGTGTGGGCCAGTTTTTGAGTGGTCTTTTCGATGATTCCTGTCTCTATCAAATGCTCATGTTGTCAGACTCCTGGGAGGAATCCGCCAAGTTTGTTTAGATGAAGGGAGGAGGTGGTCCATCCCAAAATCGTCCCGTAAATTCAAATACAAACATGAAAACCTGACTTCAAGAAGTCTCCTAAATGGGGATCTGAAAAGTGAGCTACAGGTTTCAGCTTGTGAATTGTTGGCGCTTGTTTTTCTCCATCCGGCTTGCATTTGGGTTATTTTGGGTTCTCTTGAACAGCCTCAACTTCTATTCAAGTTGAACATGTTTGGAACAGGTCAGATAAGAAATTCCTGACTCCCCCTCTTTTACCGCTCCTGCATGACTCATGGCCAATAGGCCGCCATCCTGCGTGGCTTTTGCAGAAAACGGCGCTGATGCTTGGCATATTGAAGATGTGTTCTGTAGAGAACAACATGAACATGCAAGCACATCGAATGTGATCAGCACATTTCACTACATGATTGGCCGCATTTGGTGGATTATGTGATAATATCACCTGCAGTAAGAAACCGTCACTTTTGCTTGAAGAACCATTATTGAATAGAATAAACCTCTCCCCCATGAATCAGCTGCCCTGCCATGCTCTGCTAATCTCTGCTACCTTCCATGTTCACTGAGCTTGAAGTAATGCAATCCGCGGCAATCCTCACTTGGGTGGAGAGGCCACTGTTTAATGGCCCATTATATTGAAGAGATTTTGGGAAGTCAAGTTGATTGACCAACGCCTTGAAAGAATTTCCAGGAAGATCTCCTTGGGATTTCGGACCATGTGACCTATAGAAACCTATACATCCAAAGTACCTGTTTCACCCGACCACATCTCTGATACGCCTGCACACCAGAGATGCTCCTCCTGGTGGAACAAGAAACCATCCCGGATGTGGTCACCACACCAAAAAACAGGCCGTGGAGCCACGGTTTCATCGGACGTGAAGCGAGCCGCTTAATTCGCCTCGCCTCGCCTGCAGCCGATCCAAGAGGCGTTGGTCCGAAGCTGCGGGATGCTCGGCCAACTGCAGAGCTGGGACCTCACAGGTCGGCGCGAAGCGAGCGACGGAAACACCGAAGCAAGGCAATCTCCGGCGGAAGCGCGGAGCAATGCGGAGCTTTTTGGAAGTGGCTTTTAGAGGTTCTGGAGAATTGCATCACATCTTGGAAAGGCACTTAGTTTTGGTATCCAGAATCGGGTCGTTGTCGGGGTCGTCTGCAGATTCGCAGCGTCACAGCTGCTTGCACAGTATGTGAGGGTTGCCTCATCCCTCGATCTCCATCCCTCCGAATTCGGCCAATTGCTTTCTGAAAGGACCATGAACATCACCCCGAGCAACAACCCATTGTTCTGGGACACGTCCATGGCCCGAAAGACTAGGCTCACCCGGCCCAGCCATCAGATCCTTCGGTACGACTGCTCTCGCCGATTCGCGAATCGCTCGCGAGTGGGTGAAGATCCGGGGATGTGCCAGTGGCGAGCTGGGAAGTGAGAGGTGGTTTCCAAGCATCACCAGATCATGTACTTTGATCTTAAGGAGCATTTATATATAGAATTCTTGAGAATTCTTGGATGATCATCGCAATGCACGAGGTTGGAAAATGTTGGAAACGTGTCAGAACCAGGGAGGTTAACACGTCTTTCAGGTAGGGGTTCGTGAGGTGTTTCAGCAAATTGATCCAAAAAGTCCTCAGTGTCGCTTGTTCTCCATCCTATTCCAAGCAAGGCACCTCTAGGTCTGCGGACCCAGCACCAAGAACCCTGCGACACTCGTCCGCTCCGCTCGCAGCTCGCCCGCTCCGTCCTGGATGCAACAAGACCGGACTCGACTCTGCCTCAGCAGGTCGTATTTGGGTCGCCTTTCAAGTCGCCACCGCTCGGCCGGAGCCGAAAATCAGCTCCAACTCAGTCGGTCTGGGCGCCTAGAGAGGCCAGGCCTTTGGGGGGGAAGGTCGATGCTTTTCTAGCGAGTTCGTGGAATATCTTGGAGGAAACTCGTTCTTTGTTTTGGAGGGTTGGGGAGTTGGGGATATACACAGAGGTCTGGAGCAAGATGTAAGCCGAACTTGGAAAACCTCTGGAAGAGGATACAATTGTGGGATTGTGTAGGTCATTTATACGGCTCCATTCCTGCTTCATGATAGACTAGACCCTTTTGATCATAGTCAATAGTTGCTATTTCATCCACTTAACTCAACTTCACTCATACTTAACCTCAAGGAACTTGCACTGAACCCTTCTAGGGCAAGCCTGAACTTCACTCAGAACAACAAAGGACGCTCGCACAGGCTAAAACCATTACGAAGATCCACACATTTGCAATTCCTCCATTGTACCAGACTTGCTCAGTGGACGAAGCATTTGCTCAGCTCAAGTTGCGGGTCGTGACGAACATCCATCGGATTAGGAAGCTGGACAGTGAAGATCGGATGGTGGATGTACACACTCTAGCACGGCGGTGCTTCGTTATCTTCGTTCCGCAACGGGCGGGCCACAGATCCATGGCATCCACTTGGACCTGCAGCTTTCATGACCATCTCAGTTTGGATCCCAGAGATTCTCCAATCTAGGAACATGAACATTACGTCAAATTCCTTCATAGACTCTAACCGTCCTGTTCCTGGAAAAAAAAACATGCCAAACAAATGAAAGGTTAGCACTCCCTGGGTACGAACACCAACTCCCGAACCGCCAAGAACAGTCCACGGCTGCCGCGCATATGCGCGCGCCCGCACTCGGCGCCCCGGCCGGGCGCGTGGCCCAAACTCCTTGGTCTAAAGAGGTGGCGAGGTGCCAGGGCCCACCATGGAGCTTCAACCTCGAGCGAGCAGGCGCAGAGCGACCACGTCGCGACGTCCTCGATGGACCGGCCCAGTCTTCGGGAGAAGGCCGATCCTTCCCAATGAACTTCATGGGCACCATGTCCTTTTCGTTGTAGGTGTAACATTGTTGTGAAGGCCCAACTGCCTTTAAAGGTGGAAGGACCTAGGTTCCGAGTCAGGCTTGCTGAGCTTCCAACTCGGCAGTCTCATTGCCCCCACAGCGCAGAGCGCGGCTGCCCTCGCCGACCAGGACACTCTCGCATCCCTGTGGCCATGGGAGCGAGAAGGAGGTCTTTGGATGGCCAGCACAACTAGAAACCAGAGCCGTTGTAAATTGAATCTGTCTATATCTTCAGGGGGCAGCAGCCCTCAGGCATAAAGATGCTTTTCCAATGGGAACTTCTGTTGCAGAAACGTCCACCCTCCTCGGTTCAGCACGTGGTGACATGCCGAACCAATCGCCTCATGGGCACACTGCAAGGAGATGCCGCGGAGGCCACTCGCATGGAACCTGGCGACGGAGAGGACGGTGCCAAGTCGTCTGTTTTCAAGCTGAAAAAGATGGGTTGTCTCGATCCAAACAGAACCTTTCCTGAATGTTCTGTCAATCGCATTTCTGAAGACGAAGGGCAGGCATGTGACTATCCAACACTATGAGCAACCGAGGATGGTTTGCAACATGTTGCAATATTCTTTACCTTCACGTATGGTCAAGCTTTGTTTGTGGGAATCGAACAAACACAGAGTCTAGTAAACCAACCAATGAACCTTTACCAATCAGCATACTTTCCAAAGCCTTTTTTAGATTTAAATTTGCAGTATTCTACATGACCACCCTCCCTCAATATGAGCAGTGTCAAAAACCTGCTGGTGTCTTCCTCTTTCGCTGCTCAAACGCCCGGCAAAGCAACTACTCAAACACACCCCACACAAGCCACGCAGGTCCAGACCTGGGCTGAGTGGAGAGGCAGGCAGCTTCCATGGAGCTGGTGGACAAGGTCCAGTGCTCCTCTTGCAGCAACTGATGGACCTGCACGACCCGACCCTTCGCTCATCGGCTCGCTCATCGCTCTTCGGAAACGGACACCGTCTCGGCTCTTCTGGAGCGGTCTCTCCGCTCTTCGGAAGGCAGGGTGAAAGCAACGGGTCAGACAATGTCTGAGACGTTTCGACTGGGACATCGGTGGATCGGTGGATCCATCGGTGGATCGGTGTTTATACAGTTATGGTTGTTTTGCCACTCATACAGTATATAAATCTAAACTAAGCACGCACCATACCGCACTATGTAGTTGATGTTGTTGTCGATCATGATTGCTAGCAATAATAAGGGTCTTTTTTAAAAATAACATGGTGGATTAGTGAAGTGCTTTGTAAACAAAAACACTTTTTGGTCAAACCCGCATCCAAGCAGTCTACAGCATAAACACCGAACTGCTTCCTTCTTCACTCGCAAAGGATGGTGTGAAACCGAAGCCGGAGGCGATGCCCCGTCCCGACCGGCGTGGGGAGCGAGTGTTCTCGAGGTCTGAAGGGGTCGAGTGTTCCACTCCTTCGGTCGTCACTTCTGCCGGTGAGGTCTGAAGTCTTCAGATGTCTTCAGATGTCTTCTGCAAAGATTCTTGAGGTGTTCAAGGTCCAACAAGGCGAAGAAAAGCGACCGGAGCTGTCGGACAGGACTTACACCCGCCTAATCTCAGGGTGCAAGGTGCCTAGACTTTGGGTTTCGATCCGGAGAAGAAGGGGACCTTCATGACAATGAAGAGCAAGGATCCATCACTTAAGTGGATTTGCAGCCAACATCTGGGATCTGATCATGGACCTTAACTAAAGAATACCGCTGTGGATATCTCTGATCAATTCAGTTTGGTGGAATTGTCATGGAAGCTCAGATCCAAACATGGAGTTGGTACTGCCAGGTGGCATACCAAGGGCAAGCTATACTTCAATCTTCAAACAAGGCTTGTTTCAACTGAAAGCTTCGACGTCCTTCGCATCAGTTGCATCAGTCTGTCAAAACTCATCACGCGCAGAGTTGCTCTATGCTGCTCTCTGTATTTAGGGACTCACTCCATCAAGGATCACAGAAGTCTCTCCACCCGCCGTGGCCTCATGCTTCTCAGCAATGAGGATCCTCGGTGCCTCATCTCGGTCCCTCTCATCACAGGCGAGTCCTTCCGCGCGGCAGGTTGATCCACGATGATCCAAGTGTCCCTGTGGATCCAACGAAAGCAACTCGACCAATCAACACATGGTTTTCGACCCGTTTTTCCCACCTACCAAATCCAGTCTGCGCAGTCTGTGCCTCTAACCAGCCTTTGAACCTTATGCATGCCATCTTGGTCTCATGATTTCACCAGAAACCCGATTTCAGAGCTCGTCTGGTGTGTGGACATCGATGAACTTCACATCATCCGAGGTTGGCGATGACCGCTGACAGGGAGGTCCCCAACTTAATGGGTAGACTATTTTGCGAACCTTCCAGGGGTTCCTGGCCCTGGCGGGGTCGAACCCCATTTTAATGCACACTCATACCGACTCATACCACAACACCTCACCTTCTTATCCGGCAGGCTCGCCGGGTCCTGCATGCAGACTCCATTCGTTCAGTTTTGGGTCCCACTCCACCGTGCATCAGCTTTTGGTTACTCAAGATCTTCTTCCAGCAGCAAAGCCTGTTGTTGCCTCCAACCATTCCGGGAAGGACAAACACCCCCGAGTGTGGGCAACTCTCCCCTGCCCAACCAAACGGTGCCCTAATGACACGACCTTACTCCCAAACGGTGCAAGCGACACACGCGGTGAGGTGACACGACGTCCCTCTCCTCTCGGCTGGAAGTACCGCGGCCAGGGGCCATCGAAGAGCAACTCAAGATCCGGGTTGTCGGGCTTCTTGGGAGGGTCCCTGAAGACGTGGAACAACGCGGAAAAGGCGGTTGGAAGGTCAGTCAGTGCGGGCATAGAACGAGGCAACGACTTCTGACTGATGTGAGCCTCATGTGGATAGAATTGCTTGAAGTTCTAGAGATCTGTTGGTACGACGTCACTATGGTGACCTGGTGAATGAAGGTCACTGGATCTTGCTATGACAACATCAAGTCACATCCCAACAGTCACTAGCAAAAAAATCCAGGGCCAAGGGTGATTGATTCAGAACTTGGATGAACCTTACCTTAGATTCTGACTCCCAGTTACCACTATATAAGGAACCGGGGAACCGGGAACTATATAACTGGATGCCAAGGGTGCTTCTGACTGAGCTTCGTCCAGCCCAGGACGACTCGCCGAGCGACAGGATGTCCACCACGTCGGTCCAAAGGCGCAAGATGCTCCAAACGAGGCCGATACCTCGGTGGGTCGAGGTATCGGCCCGAAGGGGTCTCGGTTTTTTGGCCTCAAATACCCAGGGTTTTGCCGGTCCAGCAGAGGTTGAAGAACCCTATAGACTATATATCCTATAGGTACCCCTGTAGGGTACTAGTTCTGGTCACTTAACCTCTGTAGGGTTTGGGGGTGGTTGTAGTGGCCACCCCTGAATCTCGAAGTTTCACACCCCTCAAAAAGGGGCGGAGGCCGTTTGGTCGTTTCGTAGTCTAGCAAGTGTAGCACTTTCCGCCTTGCTTCCCGTTATCATCTTCACTCCTTCCATGCGCATGGTGAGCAAATGAGAGGCAACTCCATGAGGAACAATGAAAACACAATCCATCAATGTTAAATGGTTGTCTTCATCCAAAGAAAGAGATGCTTCACCATGAAGACCCCCGGTCTCTTAGAAGAACAACATGGTCGCGAGTCCCGAACATTCTTTCTACCAAAACGGCCTTTCGTCAAGGCCGTGCCGTTTTCTTCCCTTTCGTCAAGGTGCCCCACGCTGAAATGAGGATCAAACTCCCCTGCTTCACGGTGGTCCATGGAAGAAGGCCCGGCTCCTGGTGCCTCAAAATCCACTTCACGATCGCGTGGGCGGTTTTCGACTCTGACGATTTTCGTCTGAGACCTAGTGAAAACGGGGTGAACAGCAAAATTGAGTTGTGTTTGGGGTATACAGTTTGGGGGAGTAATAGCAAAAACAACCTAAGTAAAAAAAACATGCCTGCAAAGGGTGCCTACGCGAACCTTCGTGCAAGTACTGGTGGCTAAGCGAGCACCGGCGCAAGTGACCGACCTGTTTAGGCGATAGCAAACGAACATGACGAGGAAGAACTGGCATGGACACTTCGCTCTGTATCTTAAAGTGAAATGTCTTGCAAGCAAACATGGTGAGATGAAAGGCTGCACACCAGAACGCCAAAGACCAGATTTGAGATCATGAAGGGCTACCGGATGGAAAAACTACTGTCCGCCTTCGCCTGTCCTTGGCGAGTGCCTTCGTGGTGGAAGCCTTGTGACTTGCAAAACAGACCTGTCTTCTTAGAAGACTTGAAATTAGATGAAATTCGAAGAACTCCATGCACAATGACAATGTCCTATTGCCGTGTCGATTATCTCCACAAACCCGAGACAACCCGTGACAGCTCCTTTCATCCATTTCAAATCCCTGTATCGGAGGAGATGTGTCTTTCAAACAAGGCAACGACTAGTAGTAGAGCCGGCCGCTGAAGAGCCCTCTCCCAACCTCAACACAAGGTCCTCACCAAGATGTGCCTTGAGGGCCTACGCGTTGCTGGGCCTACGCGATGCGAAAAGAAATACCGCCTCTGCTTTCACAAGCAAAGATGAAGACGCTCTCATCTGCGCTCATCTACCAGCTTTCCCTTCACTCCTCCAACTTCACCCCCGCCCCGAGACCACTCGCTCCGCTCGCTCCGCTCCTCCCTTTCTTCCGAGAGGCCGATCGGGTCCGGGGCGGGTGTCGGCACGGGGCTGGTGTGGATGGAAGCCCGCTCCCGCTTGCGCCTGGCGCTCGACCGGACCGACCGGACCGAGGAGCCGAGCGACACGCTCCGAGGTGGACGGAGCGGTGAACCGGTGCAGCGGTCGCGAGGCGAGAGACCGGTTGATACAGGAGATAGGCAAAGACCAGCTGGCCAAGCCGAAGCATCAGGTGCATGCGCAAGAAACAGGCTCAGCATGACCATGACACCGATTAAATGGGGGGGAGGCCGTAGGATGGTGCCACACTTGCTGATCCGAGGGTCATCCAAAGTCCCATAAACTCCCTACGCGTCTGAAAACATCTGTGCACTCTTCCCTTTTGTTGAAGCCACCAGCGCTCTTCTGTTGAAGTAAGAGCTATCCTGAGTATCCCGAGTGTGATCCTGGTGCTCTTGGTGCCCCAAATGCCGTCCTCGAACCCTCAAAAAGAAACGGCACCCCCAAAACAAGCAGCATTTGCAAAAGAAGGCCTCTCGGAGCAAACCGCAGGCCCAAAACCTCTGGGGGCAAACCCATTCACTAGAACACCTGCCGACCTCAGGGGGTCTCACGAACCCACGAACTATCACGAAGCGCCACCTGCATGGCAGCGGCCGACTCCGCCAGCTGCACGGCTTCGCCTCAGCTGGGTCGAACTTCTCGGTCGACCGTGGTCTGAAACAGACATCATTGACCCTCCGGCTCCAGTCGTACCTCCGAAGTGGTATGACTGGACCCGACGTTTTGGCACCCCGGTCCCAGCTTCTTGGAAGGTACTTGGAGCCCTATAGGGTTAGGGCAACCCTGCACACTTTTTGGAGAAGGCACAAGATCACTTGGCTGTAGATGGATCTACCTGGACCATCCTGTCTGGGTGTCCTGGCTGGAGATCCCGGATAGTAGTCGGCTGGGGCCAGCCACAACACACCCAGATGGGATGGTCCTGGTACATTCCATGTAACATGAAGTAGAACAAATGAACAAATTGAGGTGTGCATCCATTTGCCAATGAGTAATCGTGGTACTATAGTGAAAAGGTTCTGAGAGATTGAAGAGCTTTCTGTCGTCAATTGGTCGAAATGGTCGGTGACCGTGGTTGCATCGACTCACAATTGCCGATCCGGACAACGTGTGGCCAAGAATGTTTGAAGACAGAGTAGTTCTCTAATCAACACACCCGACGTTCAAAAGAAGAATCATTGACTCTAGACATGGAGCTACTATTTTTGGGCTGAGCGTCTTAGTCTTAGAGCTGCTTGGTCACACCTGCAGATAGTAGCTCCATGTCTAGAGTCATGATTGACCTGCAGATGTATCTCTATGCTTCTGTCGGCAAACGAACGCAGGGACTTGTCGAAACGAACGCAGGGACTCCGCTAGAGTGAACTCGAACCTGCAGGTCTGACGTGGATTTCGGTCTAACAACCTGGTGGGACAAACCCTTGGAATGAACATACTTATATCAGTTCATTATTAGTTATTAACAAAGGGTTTATCTCACTTATATATGTTATGTTCCAAGGGTTTATGTCTTTTGAAGTATGTGTTTCTTATTAGCAGTGCGTTGCCAAAGAAACACATGTGCTTCAAATGCTCCTCCACCGAAAACAAACCCTCCACTCACCTGCCCCATCCAAAAAGAACCAGTCTTCAGAATTCTCTCCACCCTGCGTAGCACTGGTCCAGTTCACCCCGTTCTCCCGTGTTTTCACGGCTTCCCGCTGAGCGCCCCCGACTGGCGGCCTGAGTCTGGTCCTGAAGATTCACCGTTCGCACCAGTGCTCTCTTCTTCAGAGACACGGGAAATGCAAAGATCAACACATATCAAACCCAAAAATGCTTTATCAGAATGTGCTCGCAACATACATTTAGGACATGCACAGTATATACAGTATATATGCTTAATTGAATTAGAGTGATACCCTTGTACATGCAAGAACATGGCACTTGTCTTTCTGCCCAACCATGCAATTTGTCATAGGTTCGAGCAAGCAATCCAAGCAAAGCTCGACATCGCATGACGTTTTGAGCTCTGTAAGGACGTGACTCGAGGTGTGGGCCCTTTGTGGATGTGTGCACGGTTACCAACACAGGTTGAAGGACCCAAGAAAGACTGTCCTAGTTGGGTACCCCAGGGCCCCAGGTGACGGGTCGAATGTCTATAATTTAGATCCGTTAAACATCAAACAGCTTCTCAGATAATGTGATTTGAACGTACTTAGACTTGTTTTATTTGGGTGGTACAGGTTCTTCAAGTGATCGGTGAGGTCTGGATCAACCTTCAATAAATCATCTTCGAATTCCGAAGCCTTGTCTCGATCGTTATAAGCTTTTGTCATCTTTTGTCCTCCTCCGTTTTAGGTGCCGATTGTGGCTCTACCTGATGCGGGGTGCTTTGGCGCTCAGTTCCCGGGGTCCAAAGGCGTCTTTCACCGAACTTCACTGATTCGCACAGTCAACACTGGGTTGACCGACCAATTATTCCAGGTTCCAAATGTTCAGAGTGTTGATATGTTCACGGAGGAACCTGAACATTTGGGGTTGAGGTTCCAACTGTTCAAAGTGAGCAGTTCAGTTCCTGATCCTCAGACCGCAGTTCACCGCGACGTGTCACCGCGACGTGTCACCGCGACGTGTCACGTGTGGCGAACGAACTCGCCAACTCCGTGTTCCCCACCTGAGCGGGATGCGACTCTCCAGCGCTTGCACTCTCAGGCCTCGCAGCGGCTGGCGCACATCGGACGGAAGGGGCCTTCAACACACGAGGCGGAGCCTTCCTGTATCGATCTTAGAGGGTTTTTTGCGAGGAAAACGACCGGTTTTCTGAATTTTTTGTGTGATTCTTTCAGGTGAGAAGGACAGGTCGGACCCATCGTCTGCCAAGGTTCGCTTGTTGCTTGACTTTACAAGATCACCAGACAGTTGAAATGGGCATTAAATTTTCCGGCCTTTTCGTTTCTTTTTTTTTTTCTCTCTCTCTCTCTCTTTCTGTCCAGGAGCGTAGCTGCCCAAAGAAAGAAAAGGTTTCAAGAGTCTTTGTCTTTCCTAACACTTGCATCCAGATCCTACTGCATCTCGTATACCGACCTTTTGTTTTCAATCGGAAAGGTGCTGTCTGGATCATAAATCGATTGGGTGATTCTACCGACCACCCGCTACTTTGGTGACCCAAATGCAGGTAGAACATGATCAAGGCAATTCGTGGATTTCATGGCACAGCCCGTCGGTTCCTATGAACAATGTGTGTAAAAAACACGCAACACACACGCCCCTCATCTTGCCGAGCAGCCAGTGTGAAAGTTGCTCCGCCTGGCAGGTCATAGACGTTGAAAGAGAAACAGCTAGCAGCTAGCAGCTTCAATTTGCGACTCAATTGTATGCACATATGGAAACCCAGTTCATGAGGAGCTTTGCAGGATGCTTTTTAGCTTTGCCACCCCAACTGGGGAGGACGAAAACCCGCTCCAGCTCTGTCTGGACTACACTAAGTGATGGATCTCCAGTATCTCCACACGCAAAAAACCAGGGATGGTCCACATGGAGGGCGCCCGGAATTCCTCTACCCCCCTCGCGGGTAGTAATTACACAGGGCATTCAATCCCCTACCAGGACCCGACTCTACAGGTCACCAATTGAGACCTGTTAGGGTCCAACAACCTGTTGGAGGGTGCTGGTATGTAGTTCATTGTAGTTCCCCATCGTGTCGTTCCCTCCACACGACACGGTGGACGCATCCGTCCCGCCCCGCTGGCCCCGTCCGGACGGACGGGCCTCCCCCGAGTTGTTGGAGCTCCTCGCGAACGAAGCACCAGAGGGGTGGGCCCACTTTGGCATTCAAAAGGCCCAAGAGGTCAGTTGAAGAGTGCCAAGTGATGAACATTAGTCTCATAGTGTCCACTTACTCAACTGAGCCACTTTCGAGTTCCACCTCGGCACTAGTCTTGCTTTTCTTGGGGGGAGGTTCGCTTCGTTCATGCAACCTGCCGGTCAAAGATCACGGAAGTCGGAAGTCCAGTCAAGCAGATCTAGCAGGCCTGGGCAGTGATCACGCGATGCTAGGCGCCTCTACATGCTCTAGCCATAGCAGCAAACACCAGTGGAATTGGTCCCCATGGCACACTTGAGAGTTGCACAAGTACACCAGCCATGACAGCATCCTGCCTATAGCGCCAGGAGCTCAAAACCAAGGCGAGAAGTTCCTTCTTGTATCTCTGCTGGTCATAACTTCCGCCAGCAAAAACCCTTGGCAATTGATCCAAGCCTACCCAAACGCTTCACTCGTCCCCTCTTCCAAATCTTTCCACTTTGTCTCCTGCAGGAAGAGGCATCGAAGCTGATGGTCACCTGATGGTCTGAAGGAAGCTGATGTGTCTGATGGTGGGGCAGCATCTAAACTGACGTTGGGAAACAAAAGAGGCACGCATGGGAGACCGCTCGAGTTATTCAATTCGATCGACCTTTTTTCAGGGGAAACGTCCCTCCACCACTGCCCACGTCCGGGCGTTTTTGGAACTAGATATGTCCAATTGCATGGAATCCTCAACAGCACCGTGTTCGGCAAGCAGGATCTTGAAACATAGTAGTTGATAAATCCTTTAAGAGTGGTTTTCGATGCGCCAGAGCACCAGGCATTCCCGAATTTCCAGCCCCACAAAGTCCAAAACCGATCACCTAGGTGGCTCAGAGCCTCTGGACATTGATGGGGCCCTCCGTGGGGTGACCCAACAGCTTCCTCATGTCCGCCATGGCGGCTTTACGACAGGAGCATTTTGTCCTCTAATGTTGACCTATTGATTAATACAGGGATCCAAAATAATCAGATTTCTAGATTTGCAACCCCCGTTTATGAATCAAAGGTCAACATTAGAAGAGAAAGATCATGGCCAGTGGGCAACAGCACGATCAGTCAAGCCGGACACTGTCACGGACACTTTCACGGACACTGTCACGGACGCTCCGCGGGCCGCACACGCGTCTGCACACTCGTACGCAGCACACCCAAAGAGGTGGGGGTCGTTTTCTCCGAACCTGGTTTTGTGGGTTTGGCTCCAGCGCAACCTCTTCGATCGATCTCTGATTCTCACAACCAAAGGGATCAGGGTACTCCGTACGCTGCGGAAACTTGACCCGCCCAGCGAGACCTACGCGACGAGACGTAGACGCCGCCCCTTCGAAGTGACACCTGCTCATCTTGGAAATGGGACGCCAGCATCTCCACCTGGAAGGTTTGGGGTCAGATCTGGGAACTAGGACGCTGCGGACGCTGCGAACGGGGCTCCTCGCATCGCTACTAGGAGCAAGGACGCTACGAACGTAACAAGCAGCTACTAATCATCCCAATCAGGGATGAAGAATGCTGCACCCCACCCAGTCCGATCCTCCTCTGTGCCCAAAGGTTAGGGTTCCTTGCTCGCCAAGTCCACCGGAGGGGCTCCGCAGGTTCAAGAAGTCCTACCGCCAAGTCCTTACGAGAACCAGAACATACGAGCACAGGAACAGTCCATCCTCCAAGTCCGCCGAAATCCGCTGGGAAGAAGTTCGTTCTCTGGCAAGACTTCCAATGACGCAGCCCAAAAATCTGAGGAAAGGGGTTGAATAATGTTAAATACTATATCAATTATAAATGCCTTGCTCATCTTTGGACTATGAACCAGCGCACCTTGTTTGCTAGATCATTGGTTGCTTAGACTAGATCATGTTGCCTCGTCTTCTTATTCAAAAGACCGCCACCAGTCTCAAGTCTCAAGCACTCCTTGTACACCTGATGACCATGGGCACAGAGGTTTCCAAGCCACTCACAGTCGGTCCGTTCATCTTTTCTCCACGACATTCTGGACAATTTGTACGTTGGGCCGGGCTGAGATGTTTCCGGGTGATTTAGAAGAAGAACTAGAAGGATATTCAATGGGCTGACCCTTTAATTCCCAATGGTTGGCCAACTTGGCTGGGCTGGGAGGACGACTTTGTGATGAAAAAAAAACGCATGTGGAGTGGAGTCCTGAATCACCCCCATTCATCACTTTGGAACCCCTTCCGACCACCTAGAACCTGCGAGCGCGCGCGAGCGCACCACCGGTCGTGCCAAGGACCACCCGAATCCGAATCCGCGGGTGGTGCCGTGACCGCCTTCTTCTTGAGACCCTCCAGACGAGTTCTGGCCGCAATCGGTCGGGCTCCGGCGGACGCTGCCGTCACCGTAAGAGGGTGTGACTAATTAATGCGAAGAGGGTGACGAAGACTAGTGACTAGGGTCCGGACCCCCGTAGTCAACATACCGAAAAGAATCACTTCGTTATATATTCTTCTGGACCCCCTTCCACATTTTTTTTAAAGGCACCCAGCATCCTTTTAGATCCCAGACCAAGCCCTTCCGAAACAACTGTGCACGTCCTCCGGGCGGAAGCAGAGTTCAGAACACTCCTTAGTTCGGAAGAAAGAAGATACCCATACCTTGGCCGCCCTCTCCCTCCAGTCCAAACAAGTACCAAGTACCAATGCGAACTTCAGGGAGAGAGACGGAACGGACGTCCTTTCGTCAAAGCAGTGTTCCTGTTGTGGCTGCTCAAATCTGGACCTGCAGGCCCTCTGAAAGAAGAAAGTATCGGGCTATGGAACGAGTCGGAAATCCATATCTCCTCCTTTGTTTGTCCCTGGCAGGCTAGTGTTTTGACACCCCCACATGTTCTGGTTTTCAAACAGAGTTGAAAAACAACAACAATTGAACAGCTGTATTGCCTGCCGAACAGTTCCACCTTTTTCCCTTCCCATTCTCCTTTGGGTGTGTGGAGATCTCAAAGACCTTCTGGAAGAAGGACAACAAACCACAACCCATGGGGCCAGGAGTTCTCCCTTTCTCTTCACAACACACCCATTTGTTTCGCCCTCCCAAAACCATGAAACACCAGGCACACGCTCCATGACGCGCCTGAGTTCCTCGAGTTCCAGTACTTGGTCCGGTGGCAACGGACGCGTCCAGACCACTTTGGGATCCTGGACCGCTCCGGACGGACATCCTCCGTAGCAGAACCGTAGAGCCCTTTGAGAGCGGAGTTTGAAAGCAGAACCGCGAGAAGTTCAAATCAGGATGGAACGTATGCGGGGTTGCAAGCTATAAGTGGAAGTGGACATTTTTAGCAAATGCTTGAACTTTAAATACCAAACACCCCACAGGAGCCACCGGCTAGCTTTAGGACCTTTAGGACCCCCGCAATCTTGTGAGTCCAGAGAAGTGGAACCTCTGCGAAACTCACGTTCAACTCACGTTCTTCTTCCAGCAACCTCCGACAGGCTCCCTCTGGTTTCTGGGGTCTCTTGGAGATACCGGTACGTGGACTTCTGGGGTCTTTTCACGGGCGTGGCATTCATGGTTTTCCATCCATCCACTGTCCGGTCCGTACAGGCGGTCCGGACCGAGCGAGCTCGGTCAAGCGAGTGCGGCCAAACAGGGGGACGACGAGGAGACAAGGAGACGAACTGCCCAAAAAACCACACTGAAGAGTGAACATATGTGATGATTGATGGTATCCATGGCTGGTTTTTCACTCATGATGTGTATACTGTGTCGAAACACCGGTAGCCGACCGACTCCAGTCGATCAAAAACCCATCGGGCGATCCTTTTCAGCTCCAGCCGATGAATGTCCCTGCGGATACGACGATCGATATGCTTGCACCTGGAAGGAAGACATGGTTGCGGCACTCATGGAAGTCAACACGGCTTTTAAACTATAAAAAGTTCGAACCAAGGCTTCTCCTGACAAGGCTTCGACTCTTACGAATTGAATCTCTACTTATAGGTGCGAGGCACATCGGTGCCGGGGATCTTTGGCCCCTCCCAAGCGGCATCTTCTGCTGCATCACGTTCGGCGATGAAACGGCTCAAATAATTTGAAAGATCAAGCAACAGGCCTGACGCTGATCGCTGACGTGCCGTTACCCACTTTACATATGACTTGGCTCGGTCTTCGGGTGAGCATGCCAAATCATGGTAAGTCATGTTCAAACCTTTGTACTGTCCGAACTGGATGACAGTGCGACCCCATTGGTGCATGTCCATCACATCCGGAGGCAAAGTTGGCAGCATACTTGAGCTCAAATCTGAACCTGGCATCGGAGGTGGAATTCCTTCGGTGGCAGCATAGGATCCTTCCATGGAACCTGAGGCCTTGAACTTGGGATGTGCTGATGGACCATATCCACGTTCCTTCTTCGGTTGCGGCGAGGCTGCTGACAACTCCTCTCGACGTTTGGAGGCGTCAGTCATCGATCCAGAGAAGGGAATCAAGCTGAAACCTGAGTCTGGGTCAGCAGCTCCGGAAGCAATACCTGGTGCATCGATTGGCAGGGATGGCATCACCTGGTCTGACGACGCCTTGGCCATCAGATAGCGAAGCTGTGCTGCTTCATCGGGAGTGAGCGGCATTTCGGTATGCCTTTCAAGAAACAAATGCGGCGCGTGCTCTTGATCGCAAAAGGCTAAAATAGAAAACGACTAGTGAGCAGGACAACAGCTAAGGCTGTCACCCTGTCCCGACTAGTGAGCAGGACAACAGCTAAGGCTGTCACCCTGTCCCTGGTCTGAATAAGGAACTTCTTTCAAGACCGATCACAGCAAAACAATTTGACAACACACTCGAAACATTGTGACACGGCTGCATGCTATGACAAAACTGCTCAGCTATTTACTGATGCAAGAAAACGTATAACACAAGAGCTTCAAGACACAGTATTCCCTGTAGTCTACCGATGACTACCTTCCTTACTGCAAACTCTATGCTCTTAAACAACAACTATAGTTGCACTGAATTATCCATGACGTCGGCTTTCAAGCTTTTCCTTCGTTCGCGTTCTTCAGCTTGTTGTCTGAGAACCGTGTCCTCTGGAGAAATCTGATATGTCCCTTGACGGACACAGGATCGAAGCAAGTCAATTGGCTCTTGGCTGTCTTTGGTCAAGCCATCTGCCAACATCCACTTCGTGGGAAGCCATCGAATGCTACCTCCTGTCAACTGAAGAGATTCCCGAAGTATCACTATATCAATACATGTTCTTCGATCTTCTATTGACGTTGGTGATGAGGGGGAAATCAGGTGGTCATATAATGACTTACAATCTGTGGCCAGGATGGGTGATCGTTTCAATACAAGGACTGGTGGTCTCTTCTGCAACAGGTCTCGTGCGTCTCTTGCCTTGAAAGGGCCATCCAAGGTCTCTGAAAGGAGGAGTGACAGCCATTCTGCCGTTCCACTGGCAGTTGACATGGCTTGGCTTTCACCTCCTAAGGTGGAACTCACGGCCCTTGGCAACTTATAGCTTTTCCAAGCCACTGGCGTCCATGGAGACACCTTGCCGTCATGCAACTTCTTATGAACAAACGCCAAAACATAACCAGCTTGTGTGTGGCTACCTACGTTGGCGAACGCTGCATCGCTATGACAGCATATTGTCAGGGACTCAGGTTCAATGGATCTAAAACGAATTTTGAGGTCCTTGAATTGTTTGGCCCTTCGAATAGTGTTGTTCGCACTTCTGAGATGTTGGATGGTCGGTTTAGGTAGGCCCTGTTGACACATGCTTGTTTGGCATGACAAGTCGGGACGGCTTTGCGATGACAACCAGTTAAGGCTACCGTTGATTGCTCGGAGGACCCTAATTTGTTGTTCATTGAGCAACTGATTGGAGGAAACACCTTTGGGGATGTGAGCTGGTCTCAAACCCTCTGCAAAACTTGCCTGTGACATCTCAATGTCAAACGTCTTTGGGCATTGATCATACATAGCACCACAAAATTCACCATTGGATATCCTCCACTTCCGGTATGGGAACCTGGCTTTCAGTTTCTCTAAGGACTTTTCAAACAGGGGTCCCTCACCTCCTACTGCGGTGTCGTCGACATGAACGCCGAGCACTCCCAGCAAGCTGTTGCTGTTGGGACAACGCAGTGTGTACAGGCATGGATCGAGGATCGATCGGGTCCAACCTGCCTGAGTTGCTTCACGATCGAAGGTGTTATGCCACGCTCTTGGAGCATCGTTCTGTCCGTATAGGTTTCCGACTACTTCGATGACACAATCTTCTGGAACTCCAGGGATGCCTCCTGGTGGCATTTTTGCGTAAAGAGGTCTGAACTTGTCTGGGAGTTCGCCTGCTTCCAAGAATGCGCCCTTAATATCGCCTAGCTGTAGGACCCACTTATGAGAGGCAATGATCTGCATCAGAACCATCCTACCTAGCTGACTGAGGGTTGGTGATTGAAGCAACCCAGATGCAGCCTTTTCTTCCAAGTCAGGATCTAAATGTCCCTGAAGGACCCATCGACTCTTGATTTTGAAAGTGGATGGATCACTTGGATCAACGCTGACTCCGTCTTGTGTTGCTTTTCTGATGATCACGAACCTCGATCCGATGAAACGGTCTGCGTGCTCGGCCCGGATGAGTCTAGCCTTTTTACCAAAGTGCAAACGGATTGCTCCCTTGTCGGAAATCGTGTTCCATTCTTCTCCCTTAGACAAGTTAACTAGTTTCTGCACCTCTGGGGGATTGTTTGAAGGGGACAACTCTTTACTCAGTTTCTTCTGGATGTGTGCGGCAATGAGTGTCTCGATGCTTTCTTCGAGATGCATGTCCACTTCCTGTACAGACAAGACTTCATCGTACGCTTCGGTGCGTGGTCGAGCAGCGGACGACTCGGCCGTCGTGCTCGGGTCTGGAGACAGGGCTCTTTTCTGTCCATGTACCATGTTCTGATCTTCTTTGGTTTCTGTGGCGTCCTGAAGCAGTTGAGGGAGCACTTCTCTCATGACTTCTACGAAATCGTCCTGTCTCATTGCAGGCGGTCTGTAGAGAGCAGGAGCACCGGACTTCTGATCTACCCTCCGTCGTATTGGACCATATGAGCTTGGTGCACTAGCCAACCCTTCAGGTGACGGTGTTTCAGCAGAGACTGAGGCATGTGTCTCTTGAGTTCGCGCTGGCTCACATGTCATGGGACCTGGTACAGCAGAGGCATCGGCCGTCTGTGCTTCGGACTGCTCGTGATCAGGCGACATGTTTGGCTGCTGTGCTGATGGGGGTGTGTCTCCTTTATCCGAGTCTGATTTCACTGATTGATCTTCGGAGGGATAGTGTCCTGGAACCAAGTCAATGAACTGATGGCTTTTAAAGGTACCTCCTTCCACAAGATCTCGAATATCTAACAGCTCTGCTTGAGGGGTTGAAACCAAGACTCGTTCTTCGGTGGTCGCTGGCCTCATTTGTTCAGGCGCACACCGGAAGATGTGACGACGATGAGCCACCACATAATTCTTCCCGACCTGACCTATCACAATTGCAGTACCATACCAACGTCCACCTTGTTGAACCACACCTTGACCCATCACTTTCTGTTGTCGCCAATAGCACACGAGATCGCCTGGTTGATACGACAGCATGGCACGAGGTCGAGCAGCCAAGGCCTGTCTCAAGGCTTTGTCATCTTGCATGGCAACAACAGCCTGTCTGGCGCTTGTACGAATGGCTTGAGACCTGGCGATGGCGGAATCGTCAAGACCGGCGGTGCCTGGTACGACATGCAGCGGTTCACTCAACAAGTCACCTGGAATGTCTGGGTTCTTTCCAAACACATGTTGATGGGGAGTGTAACCATAATTTTGAATCATTTGGTTCTTTACATGAGCATGTCGAACACAAGCTTCCCATTCTTCTCGAGTGGTTGGTGAATGTTCTAGGATTACCTTCTCAAGAACTTTGGAAAACCACCCGCCGTGAACCTCTGTCCTACCAAGCTGCCAGTGCGCTTCTGCTGGAATTGTTCGGACCACGATGCCCTGATCATCAAGGTACGATTGCATGGCTTCTCCTAGATTTGTTTGTGCACTATCCATGATGACTTCTCTGGGGATTCCTGCCCATTGGATCCAGTGACTATCGAACAGTTGTCGGAGGAGACATGAGGTTTCCCGTTCGAAGAAAGGAATCATCTGTTGGTAACAGGACCCTTGACAAACAATGTTTAGAGCTTTGACCTTCTGATTGACCTGCCAGCCTGGGAGCCATTTTACATCTATTCCTACTGACACATTGAACTCACAGGAGCGTGTCGGTTTGGCAGGCAATGGCACATGTGGTCGAACTTGGGACTTGCACAGGTCGCATTCCAACGTCTTGGCCATCTCAATGGCTTTGTCGGACGCAGATCCATGTCGGAGGATGCGAACCAGATCTCTAGCGCTACAGTGGCCGAGATTCTTGTGCAGTCGATGCAGGGCTCGTTTGATGGCTTCTTCATCCTCCCCTTGGATCTCTTCACGACTCATAAGTACTTCATGAACTTCCATGGGGCAATCATGCCTAATCTGCACGAGGTGCACCTGTTGGGCACGTTCAAAGGCCGGCACGGTCTTCAGAACAGCTTGTACAAATGCCGGTGTGTATTGCGCAACATATTGGCTAATCGATCCCACTTCAGCATGTGTTCCCGCCACCACGTCGTGACAAGTGTGATGGGGGTCTCTCTTTCCAGGACACGTGAGGCCTAGGGTTGTCATTGATTGATGACTCACAAGCAATCTGGTGGCCTTTCGGATGTATTGTTTGCTGTGGGGAAGTCTTAACCCAAACCTACACATGTGGCACTTGACATGGAAGTACTTGTTCAACAAACATTGCATCTCTTCATAGGTCCATGTCTTAGCTCCTAATGGATGTTCGAACAAGGCTTGTTTCCCGGCCTGTACTTGTTGCTCAAACAGGTCGCAACAGTAGCGAATGAACAACCGACTCAATCGACGCTTTTTCAAATACTCCATTGGATCCATGGTACAAGCATTCAGGTTGAACCAACCACCTTCGTACGTACATGGAGGGCACAGTACCAAAAGATCTGGAGGATGCTGTTTGAGGAACTGTTTGGTTTCTTCTCGGCATTGGGCTTTTGAGAAATCATACCCGGTTTTGAGATCACATGACATGGCAAAACCGCCTACTGCTTCGATGGACGGAGCGAAACGAGGAGGGCTGAAAATCTCAGCCAACATGAAACGCTTCCCCTGCACAAAGGAGCCGACTCGACTTGGTGCCTGCTTGATTTGTGCCGTCAACTGTCGGCACACTTGAACTGGCAGGCTCTCGATCGTGTTGACGTGTTCCTGAGGCATAAACACGAAGTCGGTTCGAGTTCTGCGAACGTCTTGCGGCAAAGGTTGGATATAATATCTCTTATCTTTGCAATGATCGATAGTTTGATCGCTCACTATCCTACCGGTGTCAAGATCATGGATGGTCCTGTGGATGACTGTGTGCCAAAAAGGGGCCTGTTTGCCCGTCACTGGCGTTAAGGTCAAACCTTCATCCACCCGAGACCAAACAGACGACCCTGGATGTCCTGTGTCAGCGGAGTCTTGGGCCTGTTCTTCAAGATCTAAGGTGGTCTCTGGCATGGAAGGTGCGATTGTAGGCTCATGATCACAGCAACTGTTGGCTTCCTGAGAGGCCATAACTTCCGAGAACTGCACTTCCTTGCCCTTGGTTTCCTCGGGCAAGACTCGAATCATGAACTGTCCAGCGGAATTGGTGTGGAGAGGCACCTGCACTGCATCGTCAAATATGGTCATGGTGCCTTGTCCGAAGGCCAGTGTTGCCTTGAGCTTCTGAAGAGCTGCACGCGAGATCAGCAATGGGGCTTGTCCTTGCACGATGGCTGCACGGATGGATCCAGACTTGCCAGCGATTCGAACTGGCATGGCCAGCACCTCAGTGGAGGTCTCTTTTTCACCATTGCCATACCTGAAGCAGTTGATCTCAGGCTCAGGCTCAGGGCATGACATGCCGTGTTGCTGCCACATTTGCTTGAACTTGGCAAGTGTCTCACGGCCGACAATAGTGCGGCCGCATCCTGAATCGATCACCCCGAAACCAGGGCTTGAAACCAGCAGAGTTTCGTGCACGGTCCAATCAGGAATCGAGGAATCTGTTGCTCGCTTCGTGGAACGCAGGATGTCAAGCGGCGACCAACTTGCAAAATGCTGCGCCATAGCAACAAACTGCTCATCATCTTCTTGGACGGGTTGTACCAGGGCTGCACCAGTCTCTGAGGAGCCCTTCGAGGAAGAGGACTGCTTGCCTTTGCCTTTTCCTTTTCGACATTCCTTGGACCAGTGTCCCAATTGTCCACAGCGATGGCAGCGTGTCTTTTTCTTCAACTCTTCAACTTCTACACGAAAACTTCTTCTGAGCTCATTGGACTTGGCGGCATTCGAAGAAAAGTTGCGAGCTTTCTGCAACCTCGACAGCTCTTGCCGTCGATCTTTCCAGCTAATCGCCAATGCTTCTGCGACCTCGGCCTCTTCATAGACTTCTTCTTCAAGAGCCTCGTCTTGCTGATACTCAGCAAGAAATTGTTCAACATCGTTGAAGTCGTCGACGAGGTCGGAGATCTCAGAAACGGGCTCTCCTACGATGGATTCTTCCAGCATTGCAACGCCAGCTATGTGCTTCTTCTTCATCACGAACTCGGGGTAGCAGCTGCGCATTGCTTTGCCGATCTCCTCTCGCTTCATGACCCCTAAGGATCGAGCGACGACCACAGCTTTTTGTTCGTCGTTGAGCCCACTCCTGTGGAGGATCAGCCATCCTCGAGCCTCCTCAGGAAACGTGACATTCGTTTTGCGAGCGCATCGATCGAACAACTCAGTGGCACGGCTAATCCAGGCTTTGAGTGTTTCACCTTCGGCGGCACGAAGATTGAAGATCTCGGTCAGCACCTCCGACATCTCATCGGTGACTTCTTTCTGAGGGAATCGCTGATCCAGAAGATCGAACAGAACTTTCTCACCGCCTTCTTTCTGGAATGCGCTAGGATCCAGGTGTTCTACACACTCCAAAGCCTTGCCACTCAAGAGAGTGAAAACATAGGCCCCTCGGGCCTCCTTGGGCATTTTGTCCAGCGTCATCATCTTCGACTGGACCCATGCTTTCCACCGACGGTAGTCCTTGTGGTCTTCGGACTCGCCAGAGAAAAACTTCAGACCACCTTGGTCTTGACTTGCAGCGGCACTCATGGCGGCGCCGAGTTCCTACTCGGAGCCTCGACCGTTTTGGCCGAGGCTCCGCTACCAATGTCGAAACACCGGTAGCCGACCGACTCCAGTCGATCAAAAACCCATCGGGCGATCCTTTTCAGCTCCAGCCGATGAATGTCCCTGCGGATACGACGATCGATATGCTTGCACCTGGAAGGAAGACATGGTTGCGGCACTCATGGAAGTCAACACTGTAGATACCTTCTTAGGGTGGTTTGTGCTACTTGACCTTGACAACAAACAAGTCAGGAGATCATTCCATAGTGGGGTTTTTAAGCGTATATGTGTGTGTATGTACCAAACCAAGCAGGAATTGCACACCATCCTGGCATATGCCAACTCAAACTCTTACCCATGGGCTCACACAGCACTCAGCAAACAGAAAACCATATTAATCTGGTCATCTCCATATACCTATATAGGCCAATAGCTTTATGATGCTTGATGACCATGTTGCGCCACTTCTCCGGTGCCAACGCTCTAAAACCTCCGAAACCAAGTCGGGTCCCGGGTCCCGGGTCCCGGTCGCTCCTCGGGTCGGACCTGACGGTAGAAATAGGAGGCGCGGCCAGAAGGATTCCATTCCAAACGGACCCAGACCTCGGTCGATCGCGTCACGACGCGTGGAGGTGAGAGAGATCTCGGAGAGGGGTGAGTACGCAAGCGAGCTGAGAGGGAGGTCGATGAAGAGAACCGGTACCAGGACCTTCCAAGTCCGGTGGTTTTTGGACACTCTGAATAAGCTTTTAGAGGCTATTTGTAGACACCTCTTGGTGTCTGTCCTGGTATAGGTGGTTTTCCGGTTTTCCTCCCGCCCCCTCACCGTGCGACCCTTCCGGAAGGTTGAGAGGTTGATAAGCTTCTAGAAGTGTTTTTGGCAGAAGGTCTCTTCAAAAGCGCATGAAATGAATGCACAGTTGGAACTCAATCATGTGAGCGTTCTTCAAAACCACTTCATGTCAGGACACACAGAGTGTCCTTATGACCATACTAAATATGAACCCCTAGGTTTTGAACAATGCTCATGTACGTGGACGTGTTTCTTGCAGGATCGGTACGATTTTTCAGAAAGCAGGGACATTGGGAGTGGAGGATCCTCCCTTAAACACACTATGGAAACTTGTTTTGCTTAAGTGATGTTAAGTGCTCTCTCACAACGTTTGGATATCCAAAAGGTCAAGTGAGGCGTTTGACTGGCTCTGTCTAGGTTTTTCAGTGAGGCTGTCGCGAGTGACTCGGGTCGGTTTGTGGATTCTCTGAAGTCATAGTCAGGCGAACAATCCAAACGACTTGTGACTTGTTCTTACAAAGGACACGGTTTCAGTTAGTGCTGCAATATTGATTGACTGAATGCCTTGTCTCTGCCAAGCGGAACGGTACCCGGTACACTGGTACACCGCTGCAATCAAGATGCAGGCTTGGACTCGTCTGTGGCCTCCCCTGGCTCCTGAAGGCACCAGAAACATGTTATCTTCATACATACACTCCCGAAGAGGCCCACAGGGGACCCGGGTCGCATTGATCTTTGGAAGACGTTTTTCCTCTACAAACCAGTAGTTTTCAGGGATGTGAGTTTTCCACAGGGTACATACGTACATACACCTTCAGAGTTGACGTACATACAGTCATGTGCTGCGATTTTGTCGCCCTCTCAAAGGGTGTCTCAAAACACGGCCTGAACCAGAAGGGGGGAAGCATTTGTATTTGTTCTATCCCTAGCGAAAAAAAACAGAACGTTTTTCCATGGGTCAAGGCCAGATGTTGCTGTCCGATGTCTCTTTGAACAAGGAATTCCTCATTTGGTTGCCGTGTCCCACATGTGCATTTGGCCGGCGTTCCACCTCCCATCCCGCCCTGCTGCCCCGATGATTCTTGAAACATCTGTATGGCTTTGATCCGGTCCAACTCGTAGGTTTTGATGGTGACTTCCAAAACTCAAACCACACTTCTACGTGCCAACATAATCGAACAAGGTGATAGGTCATGGACCATAACTACTGCGACCTATAAATAGGGTAAAACCTCTCCAACCAGGACGGTAGGTGAACATCTTGGGCACCGTTTTTCCATAGATAGTAATAGCAATGGGATGCTTGCTTCAAATAGGAATGAGCTGGCTGTGCGCGCGTTGTTAAGACAAGGTGTCATTGCTGATAGCGGCGCTGAGTGCTGAGACCGATGCGGTGAGCTGGCTGTGTGGCTGTCGTGATAGGGTACTGGTGCTGGTATCAGAGGGCGTTTTGCGCGCAACGTGTTGGCGCCGGTTCTGTGTGGCTGGCTGCGCGCGCGAAATGAACACAAGGTGTCAGTCTCTCTTGTGCTGCTATCAGCTGGGTAAGTTTTAGATGGTACCTCAAAACAACATCTCCAACGACCGTCTCCGATGTCTCCGATGTCTCCCGCCATCACAGCTTCCGGTCGTCCCATCCACGCTCCTCTAAGCGAACGCTCGCGACGGTGTCGTTCAGCTGCTGCCGCAACTCCTGGATCGCCTCGAGACCCCGACTGGTGCAAGCGACTGCACGTGCCCGGTGGAGAGGAGCTGGAGGAGCTGTGGAACAGTGCGATTTGGAGCTGGAGTAGCCATAGTAATTGCACATATATAGTGTTTTTCTTTTGAAGAAAGGAACGCCATGTTGGAATGGTCTCGAGGAAACTGCGGCAGGAGAGAATCCGGCATGCGGATGGATGATCTGGAAACCAGTCCACAAAGGTGTGCGCTCACACCCCAATGTCTGGTCAAACCGTTGGTTGGTTCAGAAAACCTGAGAGGCCAAAAAATAACAAAAGGCGCTTGACTTCCAAGAGGTATATTCAAGTCTGTAGACTACAGGGCTCCTGTGTCCCAGTAAAACCTTTCACTTGATGACTGACACACATTCTGACAGGAATGGTAGACTTGCATCCACATCATCCACTGGGAACCGACGTGCCGTGCCGTATCCAACGATGTTCACTTGGATTGTTCGGTGGCATGCCAGAGGTCAGAACATCCACTGTTGCCAAGACTTTAGGTATTATATATATACCAGGACCGACACCAAGAGGTGTCTATCAATAGCCTCTTAAAGCTTATTCGGAGTGTCCCAAAACCACCGGACTTGGAAGGTACTGGTATATATAAATATGGTTTTATTAGTTTATCCTGACATCCCGAGTACATTCATCCCTCAGACAGACTTAACCTCCCTTGGGCCAGTTGTGTTTCTTTGCAGGGAAATTCTTCATGTGCTGCTCTGCCCAAAAACCCGAGGCCTGCTTCTCGTAAGGCTCCATGATGGACGAGACATCTTCAGCTTCGAAACACTTCAGGTCCTTCTCCAAGTCGCTCTTCCTCAAACGATAGACGAGACATCTTTGGACGATCGACTCACGCACAAGATCGGGGCAATCAGCATCAATCAGTTACCGCGCAGAAGAAGAAACACGCTGAGAGATCCCGGGTTTCAACGAAGGACATTACCCAGAACAGCCATGTATATATACCATGTTATGCGTACATTAGTGTCATAAATGGAGTCAATGACGGTAAATGTATATGTGACTATTACCAAACATAGACTGCACATCATCCCTCACTTTTTGGCGGCTTCAGTTTCTCGAGT